CCTCACCCAGACTACATATTCATACAACCACGCCTCACCCATACTACATAGACATACATACAACCAAACCTCACCCACGCTAGACATGCATACCAACCAAACCTTAGCCATGATAGACAGACACAGTGGCGTAGGCAGGGGAGGTGTTAGGGGGGGGTGCAAATCGAAAGTTTGTCCCCGGGTAAAAATTGGAACACCCCCCCCCCCCTTGAGACGATCCTGGCTACGGCACTGGACAGACAAACCAAACCGTAGCCGTGTAGGTACATACTACACAGACAGACAAGCCGAGTGAATATTATTTAACAGATCCAAATCATCTCCCCTACACATATCTGCGATATCTCTTTATGTTTGTATATTCGTATTTGCACGCCTAGACAACCGGTTCTTCCAGTTACCGAAAACTGAAAAAAAACTATCTTGACTTACTATCTACTTTACTGTTGTGTTGGTCTGTTATTTTTTATTTCGTGTGTAAATGTATTGACCTCGCAATCATGTTATTTTTAAATGTAAACAATGGTTTACACATTGTAAAATATGTAATAATTTTACGTGTATAACTTGCAATGTTATTGCTTTTAATTCTTTTAATGTCCTATTTATAGAACCCATTTTTCCCCATAACTTGCCTCCGGCTAGTCGATTGTTGACTCCATTAATGTATGCTATATTTAGCTGTGTAGTCACGTGACTCTGTACAACGAAAATCAATTAATGATTATAAATGAGGTCATTTTTTAGATATTAAATAAAGCGGTTTTTTGTATGCTGAAATGGTGGGGAAGAGGGTTGGGTGTCACAGACCTAACCTCGCCTACACCATATTTGCTGTCTTTTTCTTTCAGACTTTTTTTCTCTAGAGTGAGTGGGGGGGACACTTGTAACTTCCGGTGGGTGGGGGTGGACTTAAATTCTGGGGGGGGGGGGGCACAGGTTGGAAAATATACTTTCGATATAAATGTAATTGCAATTGGGCAGGGGTGGTAGACGTGCTTCTTGTGTTCCGTGGGTTCCCCACCCCCACCACTCCCCCGGAAAGATACCCGATATAAACTTTACGTCACATAAAATACAGATCCATCTAAATATGGTTTAACATCTTCATCATTATCATCAACAACAGCAACAACATCATCAGCAGCATAGTAGCATCATCTTCATCAGCAGCAGCATTATCATCATCATCATTTCTGTAAATAGAGACACGACCGCACCTCTCCATCGTACTCAGTTTTGATCTATTCCTCCAAGTTGGGCCCACGACTTTCCGGCCACTGATACTTCACTCGCAACTGATCTTTTCCAAGTTTGCTTTTAATCTATCTACTTTCCTTTCTCCTGTTATAATTGCGCTGAAATCGCGAAGATCGAACTTCTCATTGGACACCCACGCTGTCGTTTCAGTGTCTTGGAAGAATTGATAAACCACGAAGATCAAATTCCACTCTACACCCACGATGTAGTTTGAGCATTGAGAAATCTCCCGGATCGAATTCCACAGCCGACACGCCCAATGTGAATCTACAGAAAAACGTCAAGGAAAAAAATATAACGCTGTGCAAACAAGACGACCTGACCTAGCTGATAAAAATATATCGCATAGCTACACGTTTTCAACCGAGATTATGCAAATATTTAACAACACACACCCACGTGACATCAACAATGGTAGAATCGGTGGTATCATTCCGCTTTCAACATTCTCTCTGTGTCTTTTTTATCCGGTTTATCCTGGCTTTCCTATTGGTTAACTACGTGTCACGTGATGTCAACAATGGTAGAATCGGTTGTATCAATTCGCTCACAACAATGTCCATGGGTGTGTTACAAATCCAGCAGATCCTAGCTTAGTAATTGGTTAGCTACGTGTCACGTGATGTCAACAATGGTAGTATCAATTCGCTCACAACAATGTCCATGCGTGTGTTACAGATCCGGTAAAACCTGGCTCAGTTATTGGTTAGCTACGCGTCATGTGACACGGTTTTAACCCTTTATCTCGCTTCTCAACGTGCGCAACTTTCTATTTATTTTGTCATAGATATCTGTGTATTTTCCTTTAGAAAGAAAGAATGCTTCAGTACTCTGTTGCAGAGTTTCTTCCAGGGGTCTCTTTTCATGTGGGCTTCACCCCCCCCCCCCTGAATAAAAATCTACGGTCCCCGAACGAAATGGAATTTATATAGAAAATATATACCTCTACCAGTGTCCAGAGGCGTAGCGACCCTTCCCGGCGCCCGAGGACAAACTTTTCGATTTGCACCCCCCCCCCCCCTCAAGATTTCGATTTGCACCCCCCCCCCCCTCAAACTTTCGATATGCACCGTCCTCAACCTTTCAATTTATTTTTCCAACCCATTTTGGCGCCCCCTAAGGTCGGCGCCCGGGGACATATGTTATTTGAAAGATCCAGGGGTCACTTGAAAACTTCTGAGGGACGGGGACAATGGTCAAAGAATATATTTTCTATATAATTTTTTTCCGTTTCGTCTGAAGAGGGAGGGGGTGGGGTGGAAACGCAGAGGGGGGTAGGTCATTCCCTCTACCCGAAAGATGCCTGAAAGAAACACTGATCCACCAGCGGTCAATATACCTATATCCATTCAGGGACTATATTTTTTTTACAAGAGACCATTAAAGACGAAACACTATTGTGACTATTTCAGTGCCACTTCGTTCCCACATACCAATTGACAAACTCCCCTAAGTAAAAAAAAAAAAAAAAAAAAAAAAAAAAAAAAAAAAAAAAAACCAGAGTAAAAGCCCTTGGATTTTATAAAGTAAATACGGTACTATTTACCTACACACTGAAACGTACCGATCCAAGTACCGATACGCTTGACGTAATCGATAAGATCGATATATCAATCAGACGCGCTTGATGCCAGAAAACACGATCCTAGCTAATTGATACTTAGCTGCTTGCGGCGTTTTGTTAAGATCTTGATTGTGTAACATTTTTGTAGTGGTATTTTGTTACGATTGTGTGACGTTTTTTGGAGTATTATCCTGTAGTAGAGTTAGCTGAGTTGAAGTTACTGTCTTTGAAATATGACTGCTTTGTTTGCAGAACGACTGAGTATTCGTGAATGTAAGAAGAAGTGTAAAGGACGGTAGTTCTTGTATTAAGCTTAGCGGTACTTGGTGAAGATTTAGGAAAACGACGAGTCTTGTAATTTTTACGGTAGTGTCGATGTGCAATTGGGGGAATTTGTATACCAGTGTCCGATAATAGAATCTTCTTTAAAAAGGGGGTATTAGGTTACTGGTAGTTAACTAAATATACACACTGCTGGCTCATGTCAATGCTAACCCTGTCCCTAACCCTAACCCCAACTACAGTCCTACCATACGCCTAACCCTAATTTCTGACCATAAAATTAGTCGAGATTAGAATACTTTTATAATACTACTAACAACCCAACACACCTATTTTAGGGAAGAGCCTATTATCAGACATCTGTATCTAAAATCATCCGTGCAATTATATTCACGGATGGATGTTACGTTTTACAAGCGTTGTGTGTTGGGTCAGATTATCAGAATATGAACAAAAGAAAGAAAAAGAAAGGCTATCGATATATTGATAATACTAATAGGCTTACTACTACTACTACTATTGTTACTACTACTACTACTAGTAATAATAATAATAATAATAATAATAATAATAATAATAATAATAATAATAATAATAATAATAATAATAACAATAGTAATAATAAAAATAATATAAGTAATATTAATAATAATAATAATAATAACAACATTAATAATAATAATAATAGTAATAGTAATAGTAGTAATAGTGGTAATAATAATAACAGTAACAATAATAATACAGTAGCGTAGCGAGGGGGGGGGGGCGGGGGGGGGGGGACATATGTCCCCGGGCGCCGACCTTAGGGGGCGCCAAAATGGGTTGGAAAAATAAACTGAAAAGGTTGAGGGGGGGTGTAAATCGAAAGTTTGAGGGGGGGGTGCAAATGAAAATCTCGAGGGGGGGTGCAAATCGAAAAGTTTGTCCCCGGGCGCCGGGGAGGGTCGCTACGCCTCTGTAATAATAATAATAATAACAACAATAACAATAACAATAATTAATAATGATAATAGCTATAGCTATAGCTATAGTAATAATGACAGTAAAAGTATTAGTACTAGTAATTACAACAATAATAATATTTACAATACCAATAAAAAAAAGTATAGTAATAATAGTAACAATAACAAAAAAGTGCCGGCATAGTTTTAAAGAAAGTCTGTTTAGACATTGATTGTACTTAGGCAATTTGTGTTAAGTTTAAGCATCCAATGTATCAAAACATAATGTTGTTAAGGTAGAGGTTGTGTTAAAGCTGATGTTGTGTTTAAACTCAGATCATGTGTTCATATGTTGTGTCTCCTTTGAATGTTTGCGTTTATTCGGAATTTTTATCGTTAGAGATAAGCACTTCCGTTACTGTACTATCCGTTGTTTTATTTTAAGCGTCAGACATTGTACTGAAGCCTGTCAGCTCTCATAATGAAATATGTCAGCCCTTACACTTAAACCTGTCAGCCCTTATATTAAAACCTGTCAGCCTTTATACTGAAACATATCAGCCCTTAAACCTGTAAGCCCTTATACTGAAATCTATCAGCCCTTACACCTGTCAGCCCTTACACTTAAACCTGTCAACCCTTATACATGTAAACCATTATACTTAAACCTGTCAGCCCTTACACTTAAACCTGTCAGCCCTTATACTTAAACCTGTCAGCCCTTAAACCTGTCAGCCCTTATATTAAAACCTATCAACCCTTATACGGAAACCTATCAGCCTTTATACTGAAACCTATAAGCCCTTATACTCAAACCTATAAGCCCTTATACTTAACCTCTAAGCCCTTATAGTTAAACCTGTCAGCCCCTACACTTAAACCTGTCAGTCCTTATACTGAACCCACATTAAAATATATCTCCTTTTAATGCTGTTTTTTTTATTGCATTCCAGATACATAATGGGCGAGAGATAAGAGCCAGAATGACGTAACGAATGACGCAGCTGAACACACACTGAACCACAAACCACACACCACCATGTCAGGTCTAGAGGTCACCAAGAAGGTCAGCCACCTTGACACCTTTCACGAAGATGTCTTCACCGACGACATCATCAAAATCATCGCCGCCTCGGCAGTCAGTCAGAAGGGCAAGAAGAAAAAACTGGTTCTCAACAAAACGGGGATGAAACTCATCCAGTCCAGGTTTCTCCAAGAGCGAAAGGTTGAAACTTTTCCCATCTCCGAGATCAAAGCCGTTGAGAAAACTCCAAACTCCAAGTCAACTATCATGTTTGTGATGTCGGATCCTAAGAAAAAGTATAAAATCTTAGCTTTCAAGTGCAGCTCTGAAGAAGATGTGATTCTTCTGACTTCCATTTTCTCCAAGATCAAAAGCGACATGCATTCGGCTAACGTGGAGTTAAGAAAAAGAGAAAACGGGAATTGGACTTTGAGCCAGAGGAGCGCCCATAACGCAAATCGCCATCTGACTGAGATTTTTGTTGAACGTAAACAACCCTACGACGAAATTGCGACGAAATCTAACGGTAATGTTGCGCATGTGCCTGTTCTAGATCGCAGTAAAACGGAACCAATTCAAACGCAGTCGACGAGTACTTTTATCAAACGCTCCAATAACAACAACAACAACTACAATAACAACAACAACCACCACACAAAACCGGTGACCGTCACTACCACGGAAAACGTAGTGACCATCACAAACGAGCATGGGCAGACGAAGGTCAAGGATTTGGATGATGATTACGTCATCGAGACGGAAGTCTCCCCGTATCCTTACGCGTCGATAAAAAAGAAACCGCACGATGTCCAGGATGTAGAATCTGTTCGCGACGAACTGGAGAATCTGACGTACGAGGTTCGCGAGCTGAGAGCCAGGTTAGACTCGGACCGACCAGACGGCAGCGTCGTGTCCCACAGTCTGGCGCCCTCCGTTCGGTACCACTCGGGCCCGGTCGCCCTGCCTTCGAGGCCGGTCGTCTATGCGACGTCATCCCACGTGGCCCAGCCCGTAGTTTACCGAGCGCCGCCGAAGACGTACGAGGCCAGGATGTCGGTGCACGCGGGCTACTACACAAATCCATGGGCGTCACATCGCAGACTGACGGGGGAGTTCGCCGGCCCGCCCAGGGTGCTAAGGCGCCATCTTTCAGGTAACAACAACTGCTTATTTAATTAATGTACATTTACATTAATTACATTTACCCCCGTGAATATAAATAATTTTTTAATCCACTCAACAATCATACAATTCCTCAAACAAAACAAACTTTGGGTTTAACACAAACATATCTAAACATATCTAAAAATCAATTCAGTAGGCCTACTAATAGTATTTCAAAAGATTTTTTTTTTGGAAATGACAATAATATTTATAGAAACCCTATAAATGTGTAGTAATAGGGCTGAAAGTAGGTCACCAACCAGTTCTATGGCTCATGCAGGTTTTATTTAGCCGTACAACTGGTTGGTGACCTACTTACCAGCCCTATTACTTTAACACCATAATAAATACAGTTATCAATATACAATGTTATAAAAGGAAAGGGTGTGGTTTATCAAAGTGTTATATTGTTTTATATGGGGTGGGTAATGATATAGAATAATGTTATAAAACAGCGTTTTATGTTCTTTATTATTATTACTATCTATATTGGATTATAAAGATAAAAAAACTGGCTAAAACGTTATTTCTTTGAACGCTATGCCAGGCTTTGTGGTTTTATCACACATTATTTTCCCTATATTGACAGATTCCCAAAAATTTTAAAATCACTTTGTGTACTGTGAAATGGTGTTGTGTGTGAGGGTGGGGGTGGGGGTGGGTGGTGTGGGGGGGGGGGGGCTCCTAGGCATATCTGTGTGGGTGGTGGTAGAGCCGGCATTAGGTACGTACGGGGTGCTGGGATATGGAAATTATATTTAAAGTAAGTAACAAAGGCTGCGGTGTATCAAAAACCAGTGGCGTAGGCAGGAGGGGGTTAGGGGGGGGGGGGTCATAACCCCCCCATAGACCCCTCGGTATATATATATAGTTTGAGGGGGGTACAAATCGAAAGTTTGAGGGGGGTGCAAATCGAAAGTTTGTCCCCGGGTAAAAATTGGAAACCCCTACCCATTGAGACGATCCTGGCTACGACACTGTCAAAAACTTTATAATTTTTGTTACATGCCTATACATTATACACAGTGTGCAGGATCATGTATGTCCTCTTACTCTCTGGTACCCTTCAATGACGCTACAGCATGACGTTTTAAAAAAGTAACCTTCATTAACATTTACATAACGAATTGTATTTTTTTGTTCACACAGGAGAGTCAGACCACAGCAGCAAGATGAAATACGAGACCGACTCGGTCATCTCCAAGTCCAGCCACCGGTCAAGATCGACACACAAATCCGAATTCTCCATCCCGACTACGATACCTAGGACGATTGAGGATACCTACGGCCGTCACACGATTGTCAGACGTCGCGACCCCGCCCAGGTGTACCTGGTCAGGCCACGCCCCCACACCTACCACGATGTTGTCCTTTGATGTTGAGGGGTGGGGTACTGTTGTTTTAATCATTGTATCATATTACTGTGTATCTCTAGCAGGAATGTGTAAGTTGATTTACGTATACCGATTAATTTGAGTGGGGCCAAGGGAAATAACTCGTTTTTTAAAAAGGTAATTAACTCACTATATTTTTACTTAATAGATAACTTTGTAAAAATATAATCTTAAACCAAACAAAAAGGTCTATATTTAAATACTTTGCAATGTTTTAATTTGCATTCTTTTAATTCTGTTACATTATTTAAATAAGCATAAGCTCTTTTTTGTGTAAATTTGTTTAATTACTCTGTGAAAACCTATATTTGTTTTAATTGACAAGCCTAATTAATTAGCAACGTGTTTCTTGAAATAATTACTGGGAAAACGGTGTTCAGAATCCAAATATTTCATTCAAACAACATTCATTTAAGATGGTTTACTTATACATAGATCTAATACAAAACGTCTAAATATTTTTAAAAAAAGTAAATTTAAAAATAAAAAAAAAACAACCTTAAAATGCAAATGTGTAATTAAATGATGATTCAAGGGTTTTCGTTCCCTCGGCGTGGTGGGTGAGGGGGGTACGGGGTGGCATTTGGGTTTTTAAGTAGAGCTGAAATACATTTGTGATTACAGAGCCGGTGATGAAAACTGTAATACTAAAGCGAACACACACAACTGACGCTGTAAATTACATGTCTGAGGCGGAAAAAAAAGAAGAAAAAAAAAGAATTTTTTTTTTTTCAAACTATATTTAGTGTTTCCTGTTCAAATACCAACCTATAAAAGAACTGAAGGCTTTATGTTATGCCCTGTTATGGACGTTACGAAATTGAGGCCGATTGCGAAGCAATTCATCTCTCACCCCACTCCCCCACCCGTGATTGCTTATCGATTACGAGTTGGTGACGGGCGAGCCTACCAACACAGACACCTTTCCAATAACTACACTTCTGATCGGAATAAATTATTGGTAAAAATCAATGCCATCGGGTCAGCGTTAAAACATGGTATTCAGATTATGGAAACATGTCCTACTTTTGTAAAAAGTATCGGATCAAATATTAAATAATTCAAAATGATTTCAATTTCATTTTTCAATATTAAGTTTTCAAAACACAGTTGTGAATTTATTCATCTTTTCGGTGCTTTTAATGTTGATAAATGTATTTTCGTAGCTTATCAACGAATATATTGTTATTGTTGTTGCGTTTTGTCAAAAAAATAAAATTGTACTAGCTCGGTATTTAGTTTAGTGTAACCTTTAACCCCTATATCATAAGACACGGTGGTGATTTTCTGAGGGCTGAGAACGGTCAACAGCTGAGTTGACATTCACGTCATCACGTGGGTGTGGTTCATTAAAGATGAGGGGGGGGGGGGGGGGGTGCATGAGTATTTTGGAGACGCGCTACATAGGGGGAAGGGGAACGAAATGTGACGTACAGCCCAATTCCTCCGACCCAATATTTTGTGTTTCATCTGTTTCTGTGACCTTTGCTTATGAAGGGAAAGTGTGGTCAGTGCTTAGGCCAGCCGCCTCTACTTTACTAATGTGGGTTAGGTACCCGCGGTGGTCTCATGGGCGTCTTACAGACTCATGCCTGCGATCAGGCTTAAATAACACAAAATCAGACATTTGATACATCAAATCATCACAGATAACCTAAAGCTTAACACAAAATCAGACATTTGATACATCAAATCATCACAGATAACCTTAGGCTTAACACAAAATCAGACATTTGATACATCAAATCATCACAGATAACCTTAGGCTTAACACAAAATTAGACATTTCATACATCAACTCATCATAGATAACCTAAAGCTTAACACAAAATCAGACATTTGATACATCAAATCATCACAGATAACCTTAGGCTTAACACAAAATTAGACATTTCATACATCAACTCATCATAGATAACCTTAGTCTTAACACAAAATTAGACATTTGATACATCAACTCATCACAGATAACCTTAGGCTTAACACAAAATTAGACACTTGATACATCAAATCATCACAGATAACCTAAAGCTTAACACAAAATCAAACAATTGATACATCAAATCATCAAAGATAACCTAAAGCTTAACACAAAATAAGACATCTCATGCATTAATTCACCTCAGATAACGTAAAGCTTAACACAAAATCAGACATTTCATGCATTAAATCACCTCAGATAACCTAAAGCTTAACACAAAATCAGACATTTCATGCATTAAATCACCTCAGATAACCTTACTTAAAAATACACGACCAATCCTAGCCTACATCGGCGCCCTACAACGCCCCAAAAGCAGCTGGGCGCCGGTTTACCCAAGCCTACAACCACGCCTTACTACACCACAAACCTGCATATGTTGTCATATGAAATCGCACCACATAAAGACACGGTCCTTTAAGTTACTTGTAACACATCGATTAGATAACTGCTCTTATACAAGGTCTAACCCTAGGCCGAGCAAAGAAGCAGAGTTTCTATGAGGCGTTTCTCTGGGGATGTAATTCCACCACCCCCACCACGAAAAAATAAACCACATGATGTACCCCAGAGGCGTAGCGACCCTTCCCGGCGCCCGGGGACAAACTTTTCGATTTGCACCCCCCCCCCCCCCTCGAGATTTCGATTTGCATCCCCCCTCAAACTTTCGATTTGCACCCCCCCCCCCCCTCGAGATTTTGATTTGCACCCCCCCCCCTTTAAACTTTCAATTTGCACCCCCCTCAACCTTTCAATTTATTTTTCCAACCCATTTTGGCGCCCCCTGAGGTCGGCGCCCGGGGACATATGTCCGCCCCCCTACCCGAGCCCCCCCCCCCCCCCTCCACTCGCTACGCTACTGATGTACCCATAGACTCTGTTAGTGAATTCGTTGCTCACTCTTTACATTCTATAGCTTAGATTTTAGGGCAACCCGCCTATTTAGAACACTACCTAAGATTTCGTTCAATTTGTAAATATAGCCTATCAATTAATTAACTGTATTTAGAATCTACTTTGTTATTATTAGTATATATTTTTTTAAAAATCACATTCAAAATTTACTCACACAAATTTGGATAGGTCGGTTAAAGCAAGCAGATGTTTGTTTTTTTGTTGTTTTTTTTTATCCGAATATTCTAGAATTACTAGGCTCAGTGTGATGTCACAATGTGTTGTAAGTTAATATATACAACTTTCATCAAATGTTGGATGGACATAACCAATTTTCTCATTGAAATTTGAACATTTTCGTTTTTCTGTCACCCCCTCGGATGGCGTCACTTGGTTAGCGCCCCCTTCTCCTCCTTGTGACGCCACTATAAAACCATATTTACGTTTTTATCGGTCCCTGTAATAAATATAACCAAAACTGGATTTGTTTCCATATGTGTAATTGATCTTGGTATATTTGTCAGATTGTTACTATGTTCAAATACCAACCGATGCCAATAAAAAAATGAGTTCGTTTGTTATACAACATTAAGTGTATAGCTTTTATATTATTTATAACATAGATCTAGAACATTTGACTTTGATATCATTGTATATGAACTTGACAATATTAAACATGCGAAGTTTATTTAATTAAACAATTTGACAATTATAATATTAAATTACACTTATATTACACAACAGTAAGTGATGTATTTGAGTGTACAATTTGTTTGTATACTGCTTTTCAGCATCAAAAGAACTTTTTTTTTATAAATGTAGCCTATAATGGAGTATCTCCCTTTTACAGTTGTTAGAACATATAAATAAAAAGTACACCGAGTTGTCTATCATACATAAAACAATAGAAATAAAACAAACTGTTTCGCCTCAAAATTATTTTTGTTTCACTACTCAGCGTTTATCTGGCCAGTTGTTTAACTTTTTGAGAGTGTTAAAATACAATCAATAAAATCTCTCTGATACAAATATGTTCACGTTGTTTTTTTTTTTGTTATAAATGTGTGAACTAACAAATATAATATCCTGTACAAAATGTATTATTTATTAATGTAAGAAGAATGTACTAATAAAAAAACTGAAACAATCACTGCGCTTTTTAAAGCTTATTGAGAATCTTGGTTCATTATGTTTTTCTTTTAAAAGCATGTTTACATCGTTGAAAATATATATTGTTCCTAGGCACATGGTTAACCTTACATGTGTTAAAACTATATAATTTGTTGTTGTTGTTTTGGCTGTTGTAGTAGAACAGTTTAAAGCATGTCATGAACTAAAAATGTTGGAAATCTCCAAAATCGTAAAAAATATGAAAGTTGCTATTAAGAGTACAGAAATTTGAAAGTATTAAAAAGCTGTTAGATTTGCAATTTTAAAAAAAAACAGCTAATTTTAAAAATGCAGTGCTAGATTTGACATATAACAAAAATCTTTTTAAAGGGTCATTCAGAAATAGTCACGCATTTTTTTTTACTGAGGTCACACATCGTCAATAAAAACCAGACGCCCCCCTCCCTCCCCCCCCCCCCCCCACACACAACCTACACACACTTAGAAATTACCTCAAACCTCATTAGAATTTTTAAATAAATAATTTAAACATTTTTAGTTCACTTATTAAAAAAATATATATAATGACAATTTAAAAAAAACGAATGCGTAAAAAGCTATAAATCTATTTTTAGCCATAAAGCACATGTGACATTATGTGATTTAGGCGTTTAGCTAAATATGCGCCGAACATGTGTTTAAAATCATTCCAGAAACTCCTCAGTTAATAAAACTTTGTTTTTTAAATGTTGTGAAAAATAGAAGCTACTCAATTATAGTTACAGAGAAGAGGGGTCATCCATAAATGACGTCACGATTTTCTGGACGATTTTTACCTCCCTTCTCCCCTCCGTCACGCGTCGTCAAAGCCAGACCCCCCCCCCCTCCTAAAATGACGTCACACCTCAGACTACAACCCCCCCCCTCAAAATTGCTGTTGAATTTTTCTTAAAACATCGATATTTTTCCAAAATAATGTCAGAACTCTGTCAACATAGAATACTTTAATCATCAATTCCTATTAAAATTTATTAAAACCGTTTTCTAAAACGCGAAATAACGGCTAAAACTCATTTTCTAACATTGCTTTTTTATAATGCAAAAAAAAAGTGACGTCACACAATCTGACCCCCCCCCCTCCCCCTCGTCACACACCGTCACAAAATTACGAACCCCCTCCCCCCTACGAGTGTGACGTCATTTATGGACGACCCCAGAGGACGGTGGTGATGTGTGTGTGTGTGTGGGGGGGGGGGGCATCTTTAAAGACGTCATAAATGGATGCCCCATCAGCTGTCCCACCACTAGACGTACACAAAGTATGTGCTAATTATTTTGAGAATTATATCTACACATTAGGCACAGCGTACAACTGCTAACCCGAAATCGCGAGTTCGGATCCCGGGCTTTAGTCCGATACCCTGAGTCCACCCAGCTCTGGTGGGTACTTGACTCATGTTAGGGAAAGTAAAGGCAGTTCTACTTTTATATCTTTCCCATTGATCGTCAGGTCCGAAAGGGTAAGTTCGCTAATGACAGATTACAATCAACCTGAGTTTCTTCCAGGCATCTCTTCGGTGCACAGTCCGTCCCCCCCCCCCCCCGAAGAAAGTCACCCCCCCCCCTTCCCCGAACGAGATGGAATTTATATAGAAAACATATACTTTTACCAGTGCCCCCCCCCCCCGAAAAATGTTGTTTCCCTTTCCCCCCCCCCCCCCCCCCCCCCCGAGAAGAAACGCTGCAATCAACGAAGGATTAATTAAATAAAAACAAGTCACTGTTCTTCAGAAACACTAAAACTAACACGCCATTTTGTACGGAGACAAATCTTTCTGTGCAGTTATTTAACACAACATAAGAGTAGAAGAGCTAAATGGCAGTCCAACTTACAATGAATGATGAAGATTATTGCAGGTTACGAAAAGAATGCGATCAACTCTACTCCCCTCCCCCAGACTGACAACAGACATCGAGCAATCTCACAACAATAGGACGCCTATAGTATTAGCAATATAATATAATATAGCCCACCTTGTAATAAAGAAACATAAAAGAAATAAGGGGTCATCCATAAATGACGTCCCACTCGTAGGGGGGAGGGGGGGTCCGTAATTTTGTGACGATGTGTGATGAGGGGGAGGGGGGGGGGGGTCAGATGTTGCGACGTCACATTTTTGCATTATAAAAAGCAATGTTAGAAAACGAATTTTAGACGTTATTTCGCGTTTTAGATAACTGTTTTAATAAATTGTAATAGTTTAGACAAGATTTTGGAAAAATATCAATGTTTTAAAAAAAAATCAACTGCAATTTTGAGGGGGGGGGGTTGTAGGTTGAGGTGTGACGTCATTTTAGGGGAGGGGTCTGGCTTTTTGTGACGAAGTGTGACGGAGGGGAGGGGGGGAGGTAAAAATCGTCAAAAAAAGCGTGACGTCATTTATGGATGACCCCCAAAGTTTAAAAATTCTCTTTCATTAAAAAAAAACGAGAAAAAAAGTGTTAAATCTAATTAGTTAATTACTTTAAAAGAGCATTCTAGAGCAAATTCTAAAAAAAAATATTTTGCTATTAAATATGTAAAACAATAAACCTAACGCCAAACACATCACCATTTGCCTCAGATTCATTTACAGTTTAAGAAGATTCTTAAATCTGACAAAACTTAAAAATATAATACAAAAAGGAATTCAGCCCACGAATCATAACATTATTTCATGCATAACAAATAAAATAACAAAACTATTTTAAGTGTATCGCCTTAACACAAATTAGTTTAAGCGAACTTGCACAGACAAATTTACAATTATTCTTTCAGATGTCACCTGCTCCATACACACTTTCAAAAAACTGTTGTAGATGATAAGTATTTTTTTTATTGATGATCAATTACGTATCAGACACGACCAACCATGGATTCTTATGTTTGGTGTTCAATTTTCAAATGTGGTGTCACCCCAATCTCCCTTCGATGGACCGTGAATTTAATCCTGATCAGATTATAATGCGTTGTCATCTCTATTACATTTGCAGTTGTTGTCATCCCTTTCTTTATATCTATGGCGTCAATCTGTACACATGTAAGCCCTGCTAGGGGGGAGATACCTTAAAATCTACCCTTCCCTAGGCTTAACTAACTAATCTGTCCGGTCAGTGCAACCGTGGTAGAACCCACAGTGGTTAAACCCTAACCTTAGTCTAAATAATAAGCTACTAAAATAAAACAAAAACTTTTACAGTTAATAAAATTTATTGCATGGAACCAAAAGTTATAAAAAAGAATAGATAAAACTGACACAAAACAGAACCAAACGAAACAAACTTTTTACATCAAACAAAACATTACGTTTGACCATTTGCTGGTGTTGCGCCGACTTATGATGTCTAGGATGGTCCAGGCCCTGACACACAGAAACCTCCCTTCATCCATTCTCGACATCCAAAAGTCCACACCAAACAAAACACTACGTAAAACCACTACGTACAATACATTACGTAGAACACAATACGTACACAACAAACTTTTTACACCAAACAAAACAATTCATATATAACAAAACAATTCATATAACAAAACAATTCATATAACAAAACAATTCATATAACAAAACAATTCATATAACAAAACAATTCATATAACAAAACACCCAGCCAAGTTGCCCAAGCAACCTCACTGGAAGGGGGGGGGGAAGAGAAAAAGAAAAGGAAAACATAAGAAAAATGCATGGTAATGGCAGATATATACATAAATATATACACAAGTTCAAAATGCTACCTACTACTACTATCTAGCTAAAGCCTCGAGTAAAACTAATCCTTACTATACAATTCTAAAAGCAATTCTCAAAAACAACTAACCACTGTCTAAAGAAGAACTAGCAACTTAAAAATAACGTGTAAACAAATTCATCGTAGAACCAATCTTTCCTACACAAGGAGCAGCCCGAAGCCATTGGTCTACATAAACAATATCCATATTGATAACATTAAATTAACAGACTCCGCTAAGGCCCCAATGAAGGCAGACACAAAGCAAGCGATACTCAATACGACGTTGCACGAAACAGCACACACATTAATTTTAAACAACCTAAAACTCGAGGCAACTAAAATATACTAATCTAATTACTGTCTAACCAACTGACTATTGACTAATCCAATCCTAGTCAATAACACATCATAAAACAATCAAGTAAATGCACACACGCATTCACACCAGTTTAGGAAACACCCCTAAACACACTGGCCTAAACCACGTGGTCCGAAACACACGCCACGGGTTTAGAAAACACAAAAATACATTTTAATTCAAAATAACACATCACGTGCATACCAGACATGCCGATGCTCACTATCTCGTTTTAGACGAAAATGAAAGAAAACGAGAAACATCGACAGTCGCATTCATACAAATCACATAAAGATAAAGTATAAAAAAACAAATACCTCCACGCGTGCGGTGCGCCACGCAGAAACCTGACCCGACCTACATCTCGCCGCGGGTCAAAAAAAAGGAAGAAAATCACTCCGAGCGGTCAATTTATACTGACCGCTTCGAGCGGAAGGGGGACCCCGTGCTGTTCCCCATTGGACCACCATGCACTCCCAGATTCGCAACAAATAAAATTAATACAAAATAAATAATCCATTCACCCGCTCACATTCACCCCTTTTAAAAATCTTACAGTCCCTGTAAGACAAAAAAATACATATAACAATCTTAAAATAAAACATGCACCCATCTCTTACACCAAGCCTATCAGCTTGAATGCAAGAAAAAAACAATTTCCATTAACATTAATCTTGTGTCTCTGTGCTCCCAAAAAAAAACTCAAGGCACCAAGATAGTGTTCCCTTTACTGAAGGCTGATCCGCGCTACTAGTCCTGTCGATCGTTCATCCGGAAGGACAAGGGGGGAGGGTCAGCCTAGACCCGCCCAGTGCTAATGGCACACGTTGCCTGTCCATCCCGTCCACATGGGTCCACTACACAACACACCGTGTTCTGGTTCTGGCCTCAGCGTAAGCACACCGGTGGAGCGTCCGCTTGGTTGGTCCGGAGATGACGCAACCGCCTTGCCCCACTGGCTCTCCGACTGTTACCCGCCCCCAATGATCGTGCCTCCGCTCCGACACACCTGTGGGGCGGGTGTCCAGTAGCCCTCTTTGTGGGTCAAGGAATTGACGTCATAGGCCTCTCGTTGTTCACCGGTCTGCCGTACACACCAGATCCGTGCCACGCCCGTGTGTGCTGTCCAGTCTAGACCACACGAGGCCGCCATCTTCATCACACGCCAGGTCCAGTGCCACACACCGTGCCTTGTCCAGCCACGCACACTGAAGGCTCGTCGAGGCACGTCTCTCCGCCAACCTGACTGGGTGTTTAAACAACAAACAACTTCTACACAAGTTCACACCAAACAAAACACTACGTAAAACCACTACGTGCAATACGTTACGTAGAACACAATACGTACACAACAAACTTTTTGCACCAAACAAAACAATTCATATATAACAAAACAATTCATATATAACAAAACAATTCATATATGACAAAACACCCAGCCAAGTTGCACAAGCAACCTCACTCCACGCGTGCGGTGCGCCACGCAGAAACCTGACCCGACCTACATCTCGCCGCGGGTCAAAAAAAAGGAAGAAAATCACTCCGAGCGGTCAATTTATACTGACCGCTTCGAGCGGAAGGGGGACCCCGTGCTGTTCCCCATTGGACCACCATGCACTCCCAGATTCGCAACAAATAAAATTAATACAAAATAAATAATCCATTCACCCGCTCACACACATACACACCATATAAACGCATTTAGAATAGACATTGTTTTCTCTGGAAAAAGAATGTTCTCTTTCCCCTCCATCAGAACCCCGCCCCAATGTTAATCTGTTCTTAACTATTCAATTAAATCTATTTTTTAATGTGTTCTTTTCACATTGAGTTATCAATGTGGTGTCACCACCACACGAAGTCGGGGAATGACGTATCAGTTGTTGACACTACTCAAAATATTAGCAAGCTTTTCAGTTGGTATTAGTATTACCTTCCCACACTACAACATTCTGGTGATGGCTTTAAACCTGCAGTTGATGATAACAAACAATGATTATTACTAATACAGCTGGAAGTATAATTGTTTTCTCTCAAGTTAGCAAAGTTTACGTCATGGTGTCAGCACTCCCTCCCCCTCTCTCGTTCGTTATTCTAAATTTGGAGTTAAAAGACTATTTAACTAATTATATAATCATTAATTAAACTGTTTTTAAACAAATCTTTTTTTCCGATTTTTGCTTTGGTTTCGTTAAAACATAGATCTAGATTTCTCCTCTTTCAGAAAATAAACGAAAAACGATAATTTTGCGTTTATTTTCGTTTTTTGCTAGGCCCCATAGCAATCAAGGTGAATGTCAAAATGGCGACGCTGAAGATCTTCAGTGCTCGATCTAGCCGTAAGTGTTTACTAAAGCGAAGCATTAACTGCCTACTAGACTGCTAATGTTGTTATGTTTTATTTTAATATTAAGCCAGAACTGAAATAGCCGCTGCATGGTTATTAATTTAGAAATCACGTCTCCTCACTCTCTAGGACTCTACTCAGGCCTCTCTCGGTGCAGTCAGTGCTGTTGTCACTGTCAGTGTTGTTTTGTTTGTTTTGATTTCTTGTCTCATGAACTTGCTTATTACTAGATTCTAGATCTAACTAGAATACTAAAAATCTATATCTATACTTGGGCATTATTTGGCCTAACTCAGACACTAAGAGTAGATCTGTTTAGATCAGATATACTAGACTAGAAAGTTGAAAGTAGTCACTGAAAGTAGAGATCTAGTTTTAAACTTTTAGTCATTTAGATCTAAATTTTTCTAGATTATTTTTTTATTCTGAAATTCATTTCATGATTTATTCTGGTTCAAGACTTTAGACTAAATCTAGATTTACCTCAGATTTAGTTAGGCATCTAAAACGCTAGCAAAGGTACAAATTCCTGCAATAGCTGCAAAGTGCAAACACTTGGTTTTTGGCACATAGTCTACTAGCTAGATCTAGATCTACTACTTAGTAAACTTACTCTTAGACTTAAACAATAAAATTAAGGCCGATGCTAGCCAAACAATAAAATTAAGGCCGATGCTAGCCGGTATAAGATACGCATGCGCAATGGAAACTACGACTTGCCATTGCGCAGATGTTTTCGATGGTACTGCGCATGCGTGTGTTTACAACTGCAGAACCCTAACACTAATCCTATCTCTATCCCTAATCCTAGCCCTAATCCTATCCCTAATCCTAATCCTATCCCTAACCCTAATTTTAGCCCTAACCCTAGCCAAGGTCACTGCGCATGCGCAGAGCTATCTTTTGCCGACTAAGTGGAGACGTTGGGGAGAACAATCTTCTTCCGAGTAGTCACTTCATAAAATTAATAGGTTGTTTTTGAATGCATTGCAACTTTTTTATCTGAATATACTTGAATGTAGATCTAGTTCAAAGTCATTAGGCCTAAAGTCCTAAAGGTTTAACCTATTATTTTTTACAGTTGGAGGTTTGATGCGACAAGGGTTGATGCCTGTGTTTGCCACACAGCACCGAAATCATTACAGTTAGTATATCTTTCTATATTATTATTTAATTATAGTTTAGTTTGTGTTCCTTACATGATGTTGGTAATAACAAGAGTAGATTTGCTTATTATTGTTGAATATATGTAGCATTGTAATTTGTTTGCTTAACTGATATTATAACACATTATTTTTAACCTTAATGTTACAGAGCAAGTTGGACAAAAAGAAGAATCTTTAGAGTGGGCACCCATAGCTGATAGATTTGCTAATACAAATTTTTGGAATGACATGCTGAAAGGTGAAAGTATTTTTGAAATATTTTTATTTTACCAGGTTCGGGTTTTATGAAGAAATCACTTCTCTCCGGGGATTTTTGCTTGTGATTCTACTCATACCACATTCACTTAGCAGTATATAGGTTTTTGTTTTTTTACTTACCCGAGTTTGGGACCAGGCAATATTTTGAGTAAATTGATCCTTATTTGTAATAGACACATGAGTGCCCTACATAAGCTCTAAATTTTAGGCGGTCTGTTTGAGTCCACCCAGCTCTAATGGGTACCTGACTCATGTTAGGGAAAGTAAAGGTGGCTGGGCATAATGCTGACCTCATCATCCCTTCATATGCCAAGGTCAAGAAACATGAACTCTATCTGCCCTATGGATAGTTAGGTCTCTGAACCTTATTACTTCCCACATGAGTCAGCCTCTGACTCAGTTTATTCAGTCTTGTTTGCATTTTCTGTTCTAGGTATGGGTGTTTGCTTGGGTATGATTTTGAAAGAGCCAGCTAACCTCAACTATCCTTTTGAAAAGGGACCTCTCAGTCCTCGTTTTCGTGGAGAGCATGCCCTCAGGAGATACCCCTCAGGTGAAGAGAGATGTATTGCTTGTAAGCTTTGTGAGGCCATCTGCCCAGCACAGGTATAAACTTACCTCATATGTTTGAGTATTTTAATTAATCATTAAGCTAATTAGGGGTCAGGTAGGTAAAGCTCATAGTTACAAACCGAAAAAGTCCCAAGTTCGAATCCCGGGGCAAAATTGACTCAATAGCTGGGGACAGCAACACGTCTATGAAAGAAAACTTGAAATTCAAACCACTGATGCCTTTTAGTTTGTTCTTGGTTTGACTAAGGCTATGGAAGCAAATCCAGAAAGAAAAGCAGGCTGAAATCTGAGTCAATGGCTAATGGCTCATAACAAGTTGAATTGTAATACTGAATTGTGTTGGAAGAAACCCCTTCCAATATTACAATTAAGAATAAAGAGGAAGATTTGAGCTATACTAACAAGCAATGTAGCTTTTCCATTTTGTGGCAGAGATCTAATGTTTTCTCTACTGAAGGGAGAGATTTTTCTGTTGAAAAAGGTGTTACTTTTCTAGTGCCTGACTTTAAAAATAATTTGAAATTATTCCCACTATATTTTTAAAGAATATTTTCCCCTTATTTTTGTACATCCAAATGCAAACAAGCAAAATACTTATTCTATGTTAATGATGTTTAGAAGGTAAATAAATGACATTTTACTTTTCGGAACACTTTAGCTACTGTTTTCATTTTAGGCTATTACAATAGAAGCTGAACCTAGAGCAGATGGAAGTCGCAGGACAACACGCTATGATATTGATATGACAAAATGTATTTATTGTGGCTTTTGTCAGGAGGCTTGTCCAGTGGATGCCATTGTTGAGGTTTGTATCCAAGTGTTAAAATAGTCTCCTACCTTTATTATGGTTTAGATTTGTATCCAAGTGTTCAAATATTCTCCTACCTTTATTATGGTTTAGATTTGTATCCAAGTGTTCAAATATTCTCCTACCTTTTTATGGTTTAGATTTGTAGCAATCTAAAAGATTGGATGAGTGAAATAAAGAGTGTGCGCTGGGATAAGTAAATTTTAAAAGACTTGACCAAAGTCTTTCTTGTTGTTTACAGGGCCCAAACTTTGAGTATTCGACAGAAACACGAGAAGAACTTCTATACAATAAAGAGAAACTACTGAGCAATGGTGACAAATGGGAGACGGAAATTGCCGCCAACTTGCAGGCAGATTATCTCTACAGATAAATATTTTTTCATTGCATTAAATGTTGTATATAAATTATAATTGCAAGATATTTTGGTTAGCGTTTTATTTTCTGAGAAGGTGGTCAATAAAAAAATTTAATGTTAATTATTGATTGACGTCATTAAATGAGTTACTAATAATGACACGACAGTGATAGTGAAAGAGTTAATAAAAATTATCTTCAAGGATAAAGGAAATATTGTTAAAATTGTTTACTAGAGTTTCAAGTTGTTGAATGTGTATCTGGTATAGATGGAATAGTTTTGATATTTGTCTGCTGATAATTACTTATCAACTGATATTCATTGTGTAGAAACATTGAAAAAAATAAAACAGGAGATTAAAATGTACACAGCTGATATATTCAATTTATTTGGAAGAAAAATAAGTGAAAATACATAGTTCTACATTTATAATGTTTACTACAACTTGTATAAAAATCCTTGCAATTATCAACACTAAAACAGTAAAATAAAACAAGATTAAATTAAATGGTGCTGTTGAAGAATTTTGCCAGACTAATTACTTTTTGGGCCTCAGCAGCGAAATGGTATTGTTTTAATACACTCAATTTAGGTTCAGGCAAAGACTAGAAATTAGCTTGTCCAGCTCCCTAAAAAATTAACACATCCCTTTTTACCCATTGTAGCTTATCACAATTGTTAAATTGATCTAGGTATATAAATCATTTAGCGATAACTATTGAACAACAAAATATTTTTCTTTATTTCTGGTATATCACATATTTAAAGGTATTAGGTCAAATAGTAGAACATTCAACTGCTAACCTGAAAATCTTGAGACCCCTGAATCCACCCAGCTCTAATGGGTACCTGACTCACTTTAGGTGGCTGACCATACTATTCCCTTCATATGCAGAGTTCACATCGACCATAGGTTCAAATAAATTATTCAAATTAACGTCAAATTCATACTCCATTTTAGAAAGGCTATACTTTTAGTTTAGTTCATTTATTTTCTCACTACCAAATCCAAACCCCATTCATTATAATAAAAAGGGTACAGTTCAGTTGACAGTGTCGTATGGAACAGCAAGTCCTATGTTGTAGTCATAAGCCTCTGGTTCTGTGTATGTGGACAAACAAATGTCTGGTATTCCCTGAGTCTGTTGATTGGCCAGGAAGTCATACACTTGTACAGTACCGCGGTACCTGGGCAGTGAACAATAAATTATGACATAAACATTTCACAAACTTACAGGAGGTCATGTGTTTAATGAGAAAACATAAATTTTTTTTAACTGTAAAGGCCAAAAAAAATTTAAGGCTATTCGAACACCTTACTCAAAGTTATATCAGTAAGTGTAGTGTAAAAAAAGTAATAATGTTCGGGTCAGAAATTAAAATTTTGAGTTTAAATATAACTTCTACTCATTCCAACTGAAGTAATATGGGTATTTTAATAAAATGGAGAAGTTCCATAATTAGTCTTAAGTGCTTAATAGTTTTGACTTCTATAAAATTGAAAAGTAAACAAGTTTTTTAGATTAGGCTACAATACTCCACAGACCTACCTTAGTAAACAAATGTTTAGACTAGGCTAGAAAACTCCATAGACCTACCTTAGTAAATAAAAGTTTAGACTAGGCTAGAAAACTCCATAGACATACCTTAGAGAAGACACAGTTTCAAATTCATCTTGCTGAGGGAATTTCAGATATGGAACATTTCCAATAATGAGAAGTCGATCATCAAAATGGCAATATTCCACAGGATGTCTGAGGGGTAAAATAATGTACTTTCCTGGATACAAAATTACAAAATTCCAACAGAATATATGGAATGACAAGAAACACTGACATTTAAGTCAAGTACAAGCCAGAGGTAAGAAATGTCAGTGTAACAATCACTAATCTCATTAAGAACAAAGTAGCAATTCAAAGAGTTTAAAAGATCTATTTGACTCAGATTTTCAGAAGAGCAACCATGTGCTCTATCACTGGTCCATCCCATATCTTCTAGTCTTATTTTACAAAAATCCAGTAGTTTCCAACAAAACTGTGCGCTAGTGAAGCCTTGAGACACACTATTTACTGTACACATCATCACATTCATAATTGTAATGTTGGGATTTCCTCCAACAAAATTTAGCAGTATTATGTGTCAACTTGTTATGTGCCATATCGGCTGCTGACAACAATTTCAGCCTGCTTTTCTTTCTGGAGTTGCTTCCATAGCTTTTGTCAACTCAAAAACAAACTTCAAACATGAGTTGTTTAACTTTAAAGTTTTCTTTCCTAGATGGATTGCTGTCCCCCAATTCAAGCATTCCTTTACTTGATATAGAGTTAAATTAAAAACCTGTTGTGAATATCCCAGAGCTTTCTGCACATTCTCTGGTCCCAAACGTTGACAAAACCTGCCTCGTCAGCAGAAACAACCTTCCAGTCATCCATCTGGACAGTTTTCACTCTAGCTATGTGGCCCACCAAGGTTTGGGCCGCATAGGAGCCAACTCTAGTGTCATACAACCTAATTCTGTCATAGAAATTTAGAGTCATTAAAATTAAAAAGGTTTAGACAGATATGACTTGTGTATGTTTAAATATCAATTTCACTTCTAATTTTATAATTATTAATAGTAATTAAATTTATAATAAGTCTAAATTTAAAATTGATATAATTAATTCTTAAAAATTGTTTACTTTCTATCTCCACTTCCCGTGACCAGTTCATGAGGCAGACAATCTGGCATATGGATGCAGGAAATAAACCAAGTGTGGCCAGTTAATGTAGATTTTAAATGGCTTGTATTTGTGTCATAAATGTTCACCTTAATGTTTGGAAAAATTGGATTATGAATATTTTAAAATTTCTATTACTGAAAGTAAAAAATCAATTAAAAATCCGAAGATGATTTTTTAAAATTTGAAACTTTGATGGAAGGTAAAAACTGTTAATTACAAAAAACTACAAGAATCTAATGAACTTGTTTAAGCCTAACAACCCTCTGCCTTTAACTCCCTGTACAAACAAACATTACTAGACCTTGACTTGTGTTGATGGGGTGTGCACATTAAATCCAACAGCCAACTCAGACAAGCTCTCTCGTAGTCCAATAGAGGAGACTGGAGCCCAAATTATATTGTGAATCTAAAAGAAATTTGTATTATTAAAAATTATTTTTGTATTATCAATTTGTGGGTTTTCTATATATATTTGATTGTTGGGAATTGTAACTGATTTAAAATTTTAGAAAAACAATTTTAATCTTGGTTTAGCTATTAACTATGTAGGCCTAATTTTAAGTAATTATTACAATTACTTAAGTAATCATCAACAATATTTAAGCAACATTCAATTTGCAGTGAACCTTAAAATTTAGTGTATGGGTGTTGATAAATGTGAGGGGAAAATACTTTGAAACTGTGTGTATCTTCAAGAAAGTCGAGAACTTTTTATTAAAAATAATTTATTTTTAAACCACAAACGTTTAATCAGATAAAAAACGGTAATTTTAGAACTGCAACCATCTAAATTATTTTACAATCTTACTTCTGTGAAACTGTTCTGTTCAGGTGAAGTTTTAGCTAAATTTGAGTCCATGGCAATCTTTTTTAAATGCACAGAGCTGTGGCACGTTATGACAAGCAGGGCACAATTGTCCTGGCAACTGTCCTTATACCAGTCCACTTGGGATATCTGTGACAGAAGAAGCATAGCTATATTACAGATAAATTAATAAACAAATGTCCTGCAACCGCCCTTATACCTGTTCACTTTGGATATCTATGACAAAAGAAGTATAGCTACACTACAGATAAATTAATAAACAACGGCAACGGTCCTTATACAAGGCCTCTTGGGATATCTGTGACAGAAAAAACATAGCTACACTACAGATAAATTAATAAACAATTATCTATTGAGAGAATGAAATAATAAAAGAAAATAACATGAAATTCACAGTCCAATTTGTCTATTCTCCAAAATGCTACTCTATTTCATTTTTTCTGAAATTATAAAATTATAAAATAATATTTTTCTTTTTTTTTTAAATTATCATTAGCACAGGATAAAAATGCTTACTGGTGTACTCATGTCAAAGTCCTGAATGTTTTCTGCGTGTAACCCTTGCATACATGCAACCTGCACCCGAGTGGCTTGGGAGGCAGCTACCACAGAACATTTGTGACTGAGATCGTGGGTGGACAGGCTGGTTATGTCTGGGTTGTTGAACCTACAAGTGTGGACTGGCTCTGTGCCTGCATCATTGCTCCAGATATCCACAAAACCTGAGAAATACATCGGACAAAAAATTATTACATCAGAAATAAATTAGATTCAGAGTTTAGTATAATCATTTGTGATAAATTACGGGATTAAAAAGTGATAGCGCAAAGTAAACTTTATGCAAAATTTTGAAATATTAACAATGAGTAGCCTACATCTACTTTAGATGTACTATATGGTGGCTTTAATGTTTATTTTTTTATTTTTTCAAACTTAGATTTTAGATGAATACATTGAATGTACATTCAACAATAAAGTTAAGCTAGTGTATAATAATTTTACAAGCAGAGTACTCAGTGCAATTATTTATTATTAAATCTTAAGGGAACACTAAATTTGCTAACATGGGCACAAAGGGAGCAAAGTGAAACTGAGTCCAGAGGAAAGGTGTTACTGCAACCCTTTGCTCCTCAGGAATAAGTCAAGTCAAATTAGCTAAAAACAAGTAATATTTCTCACTCAACAACAACAAATAGTAATTGTTACCAACCATGTTTAAATGAAGCAGCTGTGATTAGTTTTGTTGTGGATACATGCTTGATTTCATTGTGAATTCTACCAAGTTCCTCAGCATTTTCATCAAGGACTAAAGCAGTGTTGCTGGCATTTAAAGTACACTCATCTCCAGTTTCTATGTTCCATGACCTCACATTACAGCTTGTGTAGCTAGAGTAAATTTAGTAATAATGATCATGCTAAAATAGTTGAGAAAAGAAATAAACATTTTACTAAAGTAGCCTATACAAAATTCAAATAACAGTTTGCAAAACTAATACTGTTTGTTGTAAATTTAACTATACACAGTAGTATAACTGTATTATCAACTTTAATGAATTTTGCCATAAATACACTATGTGCTGTAGATGTACCCTGCTAAGTTATTTCAATTATGTTTAATAAATATCAATACCAACCCAGCAACAATGATTGAGCTGTGTGAATGTACCGCACAGAGAACACCGCCTCTGGGAAAACTTAAATGATAGGGTTTGCCGATTCTTGCCTGAATTAAAAAGAAAAAATAGTAACCAATTTAAAAATAGTAATAGTTACCAATTTAAAAATACTGTAGGCAATTAGTAGCGACAATCAAAAAATTCCAAGATTTCCATTTAAGGCATCCTAAGCTACAAGCATTGTTTAAAAAAAAGGTGTTTTCAAGAAGTGTTCGATATTTAGGCTTTGCACATTCTACCGCGTAGGTTTTTCTTTATTGTGGAAAATGTAACATAAAACATTCAAAGTAAAGGTATTAATCTTTCTTACAAAACATCAGAGAATTATTTTTTAAAAATGAATTCATAAGTTACTTACCTTCCAATTAGCTTTCTGTATTCTCTTTTGCTCTGTGTGCCACCGAGCTTTTCCTTTCCAGTTTTCTCCATCAACAATTTGAAGTTCTGTATCAAATCCCAAATTATGACATATCCGACACCAAAGAAGTTCATCCTCTGCTAAGCTACGCCAACTTCGACTAACCTATAATTACAAATTTATCAAAGAATAAAAATTTTCTTTAATAAACAAAGTTTTTTTTTTTTTTAATTGTATTTTAGTGTAGCAAAGTTTACAAATCTATCAAGCAATTTTAATATATTTCTTAATACTGGTTTAAGTGTTACTAAAAAAAATCAAAAGTGAAAAACTATAGTTTCAAATCTGTGTCAAAATAAACATAGTGTATTGGTCATTAAAATGTGTTATCAGATCATGGGCTACCTACTTAATACATAGATGATTACCTGAGAACAACTGCATAATGACTTCAAGTCTAAGTGTTGGAATATTTGAAGAGCTAGCTCCCTTGGAAGATTGATGTCGAAAAAGGGGATTTCAGTTATTTCATCCTAAAATAAATATTAAGTATTGATTAAATTTAGACATGAGATTTTAAATATTGTAATCGAGCAGTTACAGTATTATAATTGTTGACAAGGCCTTATCAAAATCTCAGTTTTTTTTTTTTTGGAATCAGTGCTAATTAGTATCATTCATTTGTAGTATTATTCACATTCATTATAGCTCACAACATATATTAAATTGTATATTATTTGTAAATTAAAATAAATTGAATACTACATTACCAGATCCGCAATAAACAGATCCAGAAACTTCTTCTCTGCTTTTTTATCATCATTTTGTGGCTTTAATTCTTGTGCATTGTCCACTTTCAATTTTTTATTATCATTTTTATGTTGCAAGTCATGTACAAAATATTTTCGTTTAGAGTATGAGAGTCCTGCCGATTTAATGTCAGATTTTTTATCTCTGACTTTCAACCTCTTTGGGGCTTCATTTAAAAACTTTGTCAGGATTTTAAAAGGATAATATTCTCCAGCTTCGTCTGTAACATTGGCTAGTGCTTTAACTGCTTTAGTGTCATCCACGTCTTGACTATTATCGTCATCGAAGTGTGCATACTCTTTTCTGACTGCAGGCAAATAGTCATTCACAAAATGGCTTAGCTCACTGGTGCCCAAGTTATGTTGGACATTGTCATTTTGATTGGGCCCACTTAATTTGATTGTATCTGTTGTTGTGTTTGACGGGTGTGATTTCGAACCGATATTTTCTTGGACACTGCTGCTACAAACTAGATCTAGATCTACATGAACCTTTGAATACTCTGTTATATTATTGCTATTGTTAGTATTACTACTATTAGCACTAGAACAATGCTGTAACTCTTTTTTCCACTCTTGGCGAAATTTTTCTAAGTCATAGTCACTACCAGGCTTAGACATTTTTCAAAATTAGGCCCTAGCTGTTTTAGGGGCTTTTTTTTTTGGTATGCACTGTATTTTAGTCTGCTGGTAACTTTTGGGTAAAACAATAAGGCGCAGTATTATGAGTGTTAAACTCAAGTTAACTGTTAGGTGTAACAACTGTTAGTTGTCAGGGCCTCCTACTCAGTAGTAACTACTGTTTTAATTATTTCATGTTTTGTCTAGCCGTGGTAGCCCTAGCAGTTAGCAGCTAGTCTGGCAGCAAGGCTTTTAATTTGACTTTTGAGTCCTGTAGACTTTCACTTTTGAAGTTTTCACACTTTTGTTTTATTATATTAATAACTAATTACTAGCTATTAAGCTACTATTAGTATTAGTATGCTTCTTGGAGCTAAAGACCTGAGAGAAGTGTTGGTCAAGTAGACTAGATTACAAGAATCTAGTTTGCAGCATATATTAACTTATTAGGTTATAACTATTGACTAGATATTCATTTTTATGCCTTGGTCACCATTGTAAATAATGGTAGTATTCAAGATTACATTATAGTTTTCTCCCTTTACAAAATAAAATTAAAAATATAAAACTAAAACAACTTATTTCCCAAAACAAAACCTTAATGTTGTTCATGTTTACATTACCTTTTGATTGATTTGCAATATAAAACAGCGGCACTTGTATATTTAAAAATGTGTAGTAATCACTTATCTCTTTTTAAAGATTTATGATACTAAAAAATTATTTTTTAAATATAAATTTCAATAGATCTTGATCTAGAATTAGATCAAAGAAAAAACTATAACGAATTTCGCTTCCGCTTTAAAACGAAAGTAAAAGTGGATAAATAATCATTAGTTACATAACCTTTATATATTATATAACTATAGAGTAGAATCTAGTCTTAGAGTTGACAGAACTATTTCTTCAGTCATGAAAATATCATTCTACTTACCTAGTAGATCTAGATCTACTACTACTGCAGTAGACTAGACTGCTGAGTCACTTTGTATGTTCACTTTTTTGGACTTGGCTTCTTTGTCAAAACTTGTCTTCACTCACTTCAGTGTCAGAGTAGTTCAAAAGTGTAATACTAGTAATAGAGTTATTGAAGTTAGTACTAGTTTGTTAGTTAGGCCTACTCGTAGGTGTGCATGAATTACTAAATTAGATCTGTCGATTATACTTTAGGCCCTATAGAATTTATATTATAGATATTTATTATTTTTAGGCCTACTCAATAAAAATAAAAATGCTGAAAACCATAAGTTTTGCTATTCTAAAAGAAAAACATAGATCTATAGCTCGTAGCTTGTTTAATTTAAAATCAAATCTACACTATCAATGTGTGACTTTGACAAACAACTTAGCAGAATCCCATGGATCATCTAAATTTGTACCAGCCTGTGAAGATGTGGATGTTTCACAACTAAAAAAACTTCAAGAATTTATCTCTACTTACGATAAGTTGTTTATCTTGACTGGAGCAGGAATATCAACTGAGAGTGGAATCCCAGATTATCGGTCAGAAGGAGTGGGCCTGTACGCAACAAGTACAAACAGGCCTGTTCAGTATATTGATTTCCTAAAGAAACCTCACCTACGTCAAAGATATTGGGCTCGTAACTTCATCGGCTGGCCCAGGTTCTCCTCCTTTCAGCCGAATTCTTCTCACTACACTCTCAGCGACTGGGAAAGGAAGCAGAAAGTCCACTGGCTAGTAACCCAAAATGTGGATGCTCTTCACTACAAAGCTGGCTCTCAGTGTTTGACAGAGCTGCATGGCAGCGCACACCGTGTTCATTGTCTGTCGTGTTCGTTCAAAATCTCTCGGCACGCCTTTCAAGACATGATCAAAGAACTTAATCCGACTTGGTCTGCTGATGCTGTAAGCATAGGTCCAGATGGTGATGTTGATTTAAATTCAACGCAGATAACAGAATTCAAGGTGAGACTCGCTGATAATGATTTTTTTTTTATCCTCTATGATTTCTAACAAAGAGATACTGTAATGTAGGACTAGCACTTTTTTTATTTGTTCTGCTTGTATTGCTGTTAGGATTAGGAATTTAGGCCAGTGTAAAAGTAGCAGTCAACAAGAAGCTCTTATATAAATTATATATTACTAGTAGCTTGCCCATTTCTTCAATCTCAGAAGAAAGGAAATTCAGAGAAAATTCTATAAGACAATATTCCATTGCCACGTATGGTGGTATATAATATATGTATAGACAGGTCACCTCATTTTCTGGCCATGCTTTGTTGTAAAAAGTAGTTACCTTTTGAAACATAAGGGAAGTGAAGTAGATCTCACTTGTTCCTGTGCCTTCGGCAGTGGCCTTTACTGTCCCTAATGTGAGTCAGGCACCCCTCATAGCTGGGTGAACTCAGGGATGTTCTACGGATTTGCTTCTCATTCGAGAGAGAGAAAGAGATTATAAACATACAAGTACATTACTGTTTGCAAGAGATTTTTAGAACGTGTATAAACTATCTCCATCAAGATAGCATATGTTGTTGTGATTTTATTACACAATCTTTTCACAGGTACCAGACTGTCCACAGTGTAAAGGCATCCTAAAACCAGAGATCATCTTTTTTGGAGACAATGTTGCTAAGGACACTGTACACTTTGTCCTAGAAAAGATGTTTGAAAGCGATGCTGTTTTAGTCATTGGCTCATCCCTTGAGGTTAGCGGAAAGTCATGTTTTTTTTGTTGTTTTTATATAACTTTCTGATAACTAGTTGAATAAAAATATTACCAACTGATGTTTTTAACACTTATCCTAGCTATAAGATCAGATATTACTTATATTACACTGTTTTTAAGACACTTTTTTAGTCAATGACTCATCCCTTGAGGTTAGCAGTCATTTTTCAAGGGTCTTTTTATACAACTTTCTGATAACTAGTATTTCCAAAATCATGTTGTTTGTAGTAAACTAGTCTACGTCAACACTTATAGCTCTGAACTATGATTTAACTTTAACACTGAATGGTGACAAAACCCCCATTTAGGAGCATCATCACTGGTTAAGAGGTGGTTGGAATAATACATATTTTTCTGTTCTTTTTCATATTCTAAAGGCAAAGGTCATTTACACTTGATATGATGGTCAACAATAACTAATAACTGTTTAATGCTGAATTTAGCACATATTTTGGTTTGGGGGACTAATACCTTTAAATTTACTTTCATTTACCCTCATTATTAAAAACTAACATTTTCCAAAAGTTCCTCAATAAAAAATGACAAGGTATCAACATAGCGCTTATTATTTTAAGAAAAGTATAAGTAGATTGATAGTGATAGAATAATATAACTACATATAATTTATTAATTATAGAAGAAATTATATTGGACCCAATGTGTTAATTTAATATAGATCTTTTATAATTTAATTACTCTTTTTTTCCAAAGCAATTATAAATTTTAATATCTATTAAAACAACCTCGTTACTCCCCCCCTCCTTAAAATAGCCATAATTAAATATGAAAACAATAGTTTTAAAAAATCACTTGGCATAGTGCTGACCACATCTTCCATTACTATGTCGAGGTCAAGAAACACATTAACTCTGCTTCATCTGCCCATTGGATAGCAAGGCCTAAAGAGGAATCTTTTCTTTTACTTCACTATTTCAAACGCTTTTATTTTAATAACTCTTCAGGTGTACTCAGGCTTCAGATTTGTGAATCGTGCAAAGGAACACGGAATGCCAATTGCTGTCATCAACATTGGGCCCACAAGAGCAGACAAGCTTGGGATTTTAAAAGTTAGCGCCAAGTGTAGCGACGTCTTGCAAAAACTGAAGCTTCATTGATTGTGATTTTACTTTATAAAGAAGATTTATTGTAATAAAAACGTGGATATTAAAAAAATCTAATAAGCATAGCCTGTTCATCTTTGAATATTTCTTTTTGTCAGTACTGTAATACAAGGGTGGTGGTGATGTTATTTCAAATTACAATACCATTCAGAATTTTAAATTTTTTGTTTACCTTAAAAATGATAAATTGATATTAAAGATGTTTATGTAGCACAAATCTCATCAAAGTTGTATAGGCTGAAGTATATTGGGTGCTGAATGGTAAATAAAATTATGCTAACAAACAAATACAGTTCAACATGTTAATTATTTTCTACACCAATTTATTTTCATGATCTTTTAATTTAAGAATTTTTTTTTTTCTCTTGAAAATTTTGGGGTTAATGGTCTAATAGGTGTAAGTAAGTAAAGTAAAGTTCCCTTTCAAACCTGACGGTCTATGGGGCAAGTGAAGTAGAGTTAACTTGTTTCTGTGACCTCGGCATATGAAGAGATAGTGTGGTCAGCTCTATGCCCAGCCGCCTTTACTTTCCCTAACTTGAGTTAGGTACCCATCAGAGTTGGGTGGACTCAGGGAAGGTCTACTGACTTGACCCAGATTCGAACTCGAGACTTACGGGTTAGTAGTCCAGCTCTCTACCGCTAGACCACTCCGTCCCATCATAATAGATGTACAGGATTAAAATAAATTTGGTTTAAGTTTAAGACAAAAATTTTATTCCATTAGAATTTCTTCACACCCTCTCCTACATTCAAGGCAGGATGATGTAACTTGTAAATAGACTTGAGTTTATAGATTTTATTGAACCTTAGGCAAACAAAGAATACACCAAAACTTGACGGGATGGATGTTGATTTCAACACTGAGAAGTTACTCTACATACTTTTAAAACCTTTAAAAACTATGCACACAAATAAACAATTTTGTACAAAACAAATTTTATCTCTGTATGAGGAAACTTGAAAAAGTTTATCATACAACATATCTACCAGGAAATCATTAGCAACAATATGAATCAGTTATACTCATTTTACATATTTTAGAAACTTAACACAAATATCCTCATTTCATTCATCCGCTCATGTGCAAAGCAATTACTTTAAAATAAATACTTGTAATTCGTATACTTGTAATTCGTATCGGTACGGAATGATCGGAAACTAGATACATGGAAAGTATATATGAGTTCCTAGTTACTGTAAAATTAAAAAAATAAGTTTCATGTACTTGGTAATGTTTCTTTATAATCTTAAAGCATCAATTTTCATCCTCGTTCTTTAAGAAATACTTTTTTTAAATATTTAATTTTTGGAATTTAACACACAAAAAATGTACAACCATTACACTTTGAATTAGCATTGGACACTGCATTGAGTGAATATAATTAATTGCATCTAGTGAATGTAAGAATAAAATCAATATATATTTCAACATTTAATTATTCTCAAATCATACTTTGACATTAGAGACACAGATGCAGATATCTACAAGTGCTTATACACTAACATTACACCTAAACTCCCAAATTTAGGAGACAAAAACAGAACAATACTAGCAATTATAAAACTATTTGCAACATAATTTACAAGATTTTTGTAACATTAAAAAATTGTTTAACATGAAATGCCATCAACAAAACAGTTGCCAAAATAGTTTAAAATCACCCACTCAAGCTGTTGATGTTTAAAATGCTCTATATACACTAGTTAAAAGCTTTTTATACTTTGCTATTTCTTAAAACTACTATAATATGTACTTCACAAAAATAATAAAATATGTAAATATTTAGAGACATTATGAATGTAAAAATGTGTAAATGCTCTACAAAATGGCGAATTATTTCTACTAATTTAATTAAAGCTTAATGGCATCTCTTCTGTTGGTTGAAAAACTTTATTTTTTTGGGTAACGGAAAACTTTTTAAAATATAAAAATGCATGAAACTTCAAAACACTTAGAGAATAAATATTTTTATGCAGAAATTTTAAAAATTTATTTCCATGGCAAATATGTGAACAAAAATATTTTTAAAAAAACAAATTATATAATTACTGTATGCTGTTTTTCAGAGCTGTAAAGCTAATATTTGACTGCATACCATTAGTAGTTTCCATAATTTAAAAAAAAATAAAAATGTCTGCGGACATTATCATGTAGCAAGAAAACATAAACCAGATTATTCTAGTTTTTATTCCAAATATTGATCAGCTATCTTAAACAATATGAACACAAAACAAATCAATATGGTACAAAAGTTGACTTTTTTAAAAACACCTTCAACACATAAGATAACTAAGAGGATGCCATTAATAAAAAGACTGCTTTTATTTCACTCCAAATAAAAATTTTGCATATAAAATACCAGCTCAATCAGCAGAAATCAATCAACTCTTCATATAAAAAGTTAGCATTAGTTTAAAAAATTGTAATAAAAAGAATTTTAAGTATAAAATAGAGTACAAAGCATAGCAAGCAGTTGGGCAAATTGAACTTCACATGAACTAATAACATAATCATTAAATAGAAGTTTTCATATTTTCCAACCCGATACATTGTTCCTTACATCAGCAGTTCCCAAAGCATATTGTGTAGTAAATTGTACCTACATAGTCACCTCGAGGGTACAGAAACACCTCTCACAAAATGTAAACAAGCAGATCCCTGACAACGTAGCAAGACAAAATCAATACTGGAGTGAGAAATTTATGACAAATCTACCAAACTTTTACTATGAAAGTTGAGACGTCTGTCTGATGCATCAGACAAACAAACAGACGCAGCAATAAAGACAAGGGTATCAATGGCTACCACACAAAAGTTTGCATACAGCAAGGCTCATGCAATATGGTGGTGTGGTTTCATTTTTAAGGGACTACACAAGTACATCAACAGAGTGCCCTGAAAACTAAAACGCAGTCATTTAAAAAAGACAAACTGGAAAATAAATTCCATGCAATTGTCCACCTTCATAAAAAATTAGCACAACTTTTCTTTAAAAAACAAAATTTAAAAGCCTTATGTCTCATCATACAAAATTCTGTCTTCATTCTTCTTTACAATTAAAAAGAACCCCCCCTCCCACTTCCCCACCCCCCAGTGATGTAATGTCGCCGCTTGTCAATAAGAATAAAAACTAAAAATGAGCCATGTTCATTTTTCCGTCTCTCCATCTTGTGTTACATCTTCGTCCCTTTTCCAGATACAAACCAAGTTGTTGTCTGTTCCCCCTGTGATGTACTCGTGACTACTACTGATGGCCACTGTGTTTACCACCAGTTCCTGTACAAACAAATTCCAAATTTTTAATCAGCATGTAGGGAAAATGAAATAAAGAGTTTATAAGTTTCAGTGAACACAGAGATACCAAAGTTAGACAGCAGTCCATACACAATGTTATCAAAAACCAGCTAGTGGACATGGATCAGGAATGCCCTGAGGAGAACTGAAGTCAATATTCCAAATCAAGCGCTAGAATGGAACCCAAAGGGGAAAAAATGGGTAGACCTAGAAAATCCTGGAGAAGGGCTGTTAAAAGGACTGAATGGCTTAAATGGGAGAGAACCACCAAAATTGCATCTGTTGGAGGTCTAGTTGCTGCCCCTTTTTCCCCTCAAGGCTTTACTTAATTAAAGTGTTCAGTTCTTTGCCCAGTCCCCTATTCTTTTCATAACATAAGTCAGATACACATCATTGCTGAGACTCAAGTCCTTATTTTTATCTCAAATTTACCAAACGTATCTCAAATTTACCAAAAGTATCTCAAATTTACTATAAATGATAAAATAATAAAAGTTATTTATTTCTACAAGCTTTTATTACATACCTGTCGTGGAGTGTTTGTTGACTGCAAATTTACAATATTTGGCCACTCAAGAATCTGAGGATAAAAATGCTACAAATTTATAGAGGTAAAACCTATAAACTAAAGCTGTGAATTATTAGCGGGAAGAGATTGTTTAAAAACCCCTTTCATCAATTGTCCAGTAAAAACAATGACTTCCCCTTCAAATTAAGCCTTCACAATGGACATTGTGATTTCAAAGCTATGGAAATTGTTATGATTTCAAAGCCATGTGAATTGTGATTTCAAAGCCATGTCAATTGATGTGATTTCAAAGCCATGTCAATTGATGTGATTTCAAAGCCATGTCAATTGATGTGATTTCAAATCCATGTTAATTGTTGTGATTTCAAAGCCATGAAAATTGTTATGATTTCAAAGCCATGTGAATTGTGATTTCAAAGCCATGTCAATTGATGTGATTTCAAAGCCATGTCAATTGATGTGATTTCAAAGCCATGTCAATTGATTTGATTTCAAAGCCATGTCAATTGATTTGATTTCAAAGCCTGTGAATTGTTATGATTTCAAAGCCATGGAAATTGTGATTTCAAAGCCATGAGAATTTTATAGGGAGATGCCTGAAAGAAACTCTGAATGCAACCTTTAACATGGGTGGCTTGCCCCCCCCCCTCCTCCCCAGTTTTCAAACAACTTGTTCAATAGTATTTATACATCTACATGCTAGTCTAAAATGAGGAAAATAAAACTGAAACTGCAAGTAGTCACAATTTGTTTCATCCAAAAAGACAAAACCTAAAAATAATTACTCTTTCAGAAAGTTTTCAATTTAGAAGTACAGCTAATGCATTTTAGGATTTAAAAAAAAATTAAAAATTAAGTACGCACATTTGAAGCCTCCCACACATTTTCTTCATCCTCGCTGTGTTTTTTCAGGACGTTCTGTATGTTGTAGAGCAGGAGGTTACCCTGGTCATCTCCCACTCCCAGCAGACCTGAAACATTGGAAACTCCATTTTGAAAGCTGCGGCTTCAATTTTATTTTGTTTTTTTGTAGTGTTAAAAAAAGTCCTAGATTGAACACCTAGCAGTTAGGAGGAAACAATAGGATCTCAATTTTTTTAAAGCAGCAGCTAAATCAGTTATTGAATAATGTATTTTATGTCTTCCACAAAAATAGTCAAAATGTACGCCAATCAATTTTGCAGCGTACATAAATGTTCCAGATTGAACACCTAGCAGTCAGGGGGAAACAATAGGAATCTCAATTTTTTTTAAGCAGCATTTAAATCAGTTATTGAATAATGTATTTTATGTCTTCCAGAAAAATCCATTTTAAATTTACTTCAATCATTTCTGCAGCGTACATAAATGTTCCAGACTAGCAGTGATACAACTTCTAAAGCACAATAAGGAATATTTTTGGTGCCTACAGACTCGAACAGCATGTAGTGCGCTAAACTACTAACCCGAAAGTCTCGAGTTCGAATCCAGGCTCAAGCCCGTGAACATCCCTGAGTCCACCCAGCTCTGATGGGTACCTGACTCTTGTTAGGGAAAGTAAAAGCAGATGGGCATAGTGCCAACCACATTATCTCTTCATATGCCGAGGTCAAGAAACAAGAACTCTACTTCATCTGCCATATGCTCTCTAGGTCTAAAGATAAATCTTTACTTTTTTTTTACTGACTAGAAAGAATTTTTATTCCCACCATTGCTAATCACTAAAAAGCTATTTTTTTGTTACCATTGTTTAGCTCATGTATCTATTACTGACTTCTAAATCCCTAGAAAAAAATGTGTTATACTCTTTTAAAATGTATATATATTGATGAACGCAGATTAATTTACTGACCGTTGCTAAAGCCCAGGTTTAGATATTTAACACTTGTCTGGGGGTATTTGAGTTTTATCATTGGTTCAATTAGAACCTCTTTGATTTCTTTTTGTACATGCTTGGTGAGGTCCCATATCAGAATTTCTCCAGATCCAACTTGTTTGGTAGCTGATAAAGAAAGCGATAGATAGACATGAGACAGTGTAGTACTACTAATATTAAGGCTTTAATGTAAACACATTTTTGAACTATTTTTAAATTCAAGATTATACAGTTAAAACTGATTGACCAAAAAAAAAAGTCAGCTATAAATTTTATTGGTTTTTATTTTTAGGTCCCTGAGTCCACCCAGCTCTGATGGGTACCTGACTCACAATAGGGTAAAGTAAAGGCGGCTGGGCATAGTGCTGACCACACTATCTCTTCATATGCAGAGGTCACAGAAACAAGTGAACTCTACTTCACTTGCCCCGTAGGCCGTCAGGTTTGAAAGGGAAACTTTACTCACTTTTACTTATTTTTGGCATGGAAAGAACTGATATTTTATCAAAATATTCCAAAAATTCTTACCTATTAAGTCGCCAGGCAAGTTAATCAACCCATCAATAGTTTGTGTTTTAGATTTCGGGTGTTGGAACACAATATCTGCACGCCTGGAAAACAATTTGCAGGAATATAAAATTGTTTTTAAATGGTGATGAATACACCACAGAGACAGAAAACACAATACAATTGAAAAACTACAAAACAATGTGATCTTTGACCTTTCATGAGCTAATATTGATGTTTTAGTACACCTCTAAAAAAGACCTGAATAAGACATTTATAATGCAAAAGGACTAAACAGTTTCAAGCCGAGAAACACTGTTTTTAACAACTAAAAACAAAGAAATAATACTTTACTACATTAAAAAGGCTACGATCACCCATAAAAATTAAAAGAAAGAAATTACATCATTTATTTTAAATATAGTCCAAGGTGCATTTAAACTTGGCTTATAGAGGAGGGGGAGAGGACTTGAATATGCAGCACTATATCCAGTTATCTTTACTTTCTATGGCTACACCACCACCCAGCCCTCCAAGCTAGATGGACAGGGGTCATCATACAGACTCAACTCTGTAGCCCAACTCATGTCATTCTAGCAGACACCTTACCTCTTAAAAATATTACTTACTCAATGACTTTAGCCCTTCTGACTGGGGTTAGAAGCTGGCAGTCACCAACCACCCAACCCACACAGCCCCTCTCAGCCCCAGCAATCAACAACTGCGACCTCTCACAAAAGATGAGATTGAGAGCATCACCAAAGGAGTCTTGGAGGGAAATCTTCAACAGTGGCCTATGGGAGAAAACATAAGGAAAACAAATAATTTACAGGGGTGTGTTAAAAACACATATGGGGAGTAAATAAAAAGAAAACAAATAATTTACAGGGGTGTGTTAAAAACACATATGGGGAGTAAATAGAAGGAAAACAAATAATTTACAGGGGTGTGTTAAAAACACATATGGGGAGTAAATAGAAGGAAAACAAATAATTTACAGGGGTGTGTTAAAAACACATATGGGGAGTAAATAGAAGGAAAACAAATAATTTACATGGGTGTGTTAAAAACACATATGGGGAGTAAATACAAGGAAAACAAATAATTTACAGGGGTGTGTTGAAAACACATATGGGGGAGTAAATACAAGGAAAACAAATAATTTACAGGGGTGTGTTATAAACACATATGGGGAGTAAATACAAGGAAAACAATTTAGCAGCCTGAGTTCAGTATCTGGTAAGACTTTAAAAACAAGATATACAGAGAACAAGTAGAAAAATTAAAAAGTGAAAGTGAAACCGTTTTGTATACTTACACATATGATGCACTTGGTGCTTTGTCTGGGATTCCTATATCCCAAAGATACACAAAACCATCCCTTGATCCACCTGAATAATTTATAAACATTTAGTCAGGTCTTCACAACACATTCTAGCTGTGACTTACAAATGTTTTGTTTACATTGTTATGGTGGTAATTAACACCACAGAAAGTCACAAAGTTTCGTTTATTTTTTTAAAAGTAAAATTAGCGCTATTTTTCTTTTAAAATGAGAAAATCTAAAAGAACAAGGTTAGATCCAGAAAAAAGGTGGACAAAAAATGTCAAAGGGTAAATTTTAATGTTGGTATGTGTTAAACCAGTGTCCAATAATGTCACATGAATAAGAAGTTTCTTATATAGATTACTGGCTAATACAAATGCAAATTGCTAATGTCAACACTAATCTCATCCCTAACCCAACCCTAACCAAGCGCTACCATGGCCTATATGCCAATTTCTGACCATAACACTAAATCTGAGATTACAATACTACTAACAACCTATTTTCTATATACCAGTACTCCTTAAAATAATTAAAATTTTGGTAAAAGATGAAACTTAAACCTATGTTAAACCAGCAGTAAAGACTTACTAAACAAGAGTCTTGTCAGGGTAGGATGGAAGAGCAAACAGCTAATGTATTTCTTGTGGCCACGAATGGTTGCATACATCAACAGTTGGCTGGGGTAAATTAACTTGATGGCGGCCCCTTCCCCTGTAAAACAAGAAAAACTGGTAAATTCACTTGATAACGGCCCTTTCATCTCTAATACAAAAAAAAGGGTAAATTAACTTGATAGCAGTACTTTCATCTGTAATACAGAAAAATGGTAAATTAGCTTGATAGGTGCCCCTTCTCCTGTTATACAATAAAAATTTGGTAAATAAACTTGACAGCGGCCTTCCCCTGTAAATACAAGAAAACCTGTTAAATTAACTTGATAAAAATTCAAACTGCATTTGCATACGACTAAAGCTAAACGACTTTTCTTTATACTGGAGAACCTATGTAGTGAAAACATGTCATTAAAGTAGTAGGTTATAGGACTAAATTAGTTCCCTGAAATAAATTTCTTATAAAAGAAAATCATACTAACTATAAAAGAATCATATAACATAAAGACAAAGTATCCAAATAGAATACAAACCTTCTAAGATTTGATTGTATTGCTAATATTTTGCCTTAACATACAAGCTTCACTTACCTGCAACTGCTAGTATGTTTACTTTTTTCTTGCCTGCTAGCTCAATGCTGGTCCAAGCCAATGTGTAGAAATTCTGAAAGTTTATAAACATAAAATCTTTCATAACACAAATAAGTCATGTGATTCCTTTGTTTATTTTTGTTTTGTTGCAATGCAGTAAATGGGCACTTTTTAAAATTTACTTAAGTATAACGTAGGTTAACTCAAAGGGGAGCATTCATCTATTTATTCAAGACCCCAAAATTTTATCTGTGCTATTTTCAAAGTTAAAGGATGGATTAATTGGAAAATTGAGAAATAAATGACAATAATCAATTCAATATTCAAATAAAACAATATGGTTTTGAACAACCCCATGTATCAACTCGTGGTCGAGTCGGTAAAGCTCATGGTTGCTAAACCGAAAAGTCTCGAGTTCGAACCCTCGGGCAGATGAGGCTCGTTAGCTGGTGACAGCCACTCTTCTAGGAGAGACAACGCCAAAATCAAACAACTGCTGCCTTGTAGTTTGTTCTTGGTTGTTGGACAAAGGCTATGGAAGCAAAGCCAAAAAGAAAAGCAGGCTGACATCGGAGTTAATAGCCTCAATGGCGCATAACCAGTTGACACAAATTCAATATTCAAATAAAACATTATGGTTTTGAAAAACCCTATGTATGAAATACTTTTTTTACCTTGAGATTAATATAAAATATTAACAAATTTTAACAGATGAGGTTATGTAGTCTATGTATTTTACTTGTGAATAGATGTTAGAAATGCAGCTATAAAGGACAAAGCATACTTCATATTTATCTGTGTCCTGGAACCTTTTTAGAACTTGCTGAGTGTTGACATCTATGATGCAGACAGTCTTTCCCCCGCACGTTGCCAGGAGATTGGTCGTTTCATCTAAAATAAAGTCCATCAATTTTCTTTTATCAACTTTTATAGGTCTTCTGATGAACCATACATATTTTGTTTTATCAAAAATAAAGTTGGTCAATTCTTTATCAACTTTCATAGGTCTTCTGATGAACCATACATATTTTCTTTTATCAAAAAAAAAGTTGGTCAATTCTTTTTTATCAACTTTTGTATGTCTTCTAAAAAACCATACATCATATTTCATTGTATCAACAATAAAGTTGGTCAATTATTTTATATAAACTCAATTGTATGTGTTGGTGATTGAACTATTCATTGGTCGAATATTTTTCCCCACTATTGTATGTTATTGGCTAAACCAGGGGTGGCAGTTTTTTAAATAGTTTTTTGTCAAAGTATGATATAGGAGAAGCAGCAAATAAATTATCAGGACTTGATTTCAATGTTATTTATAAATCATGTTTTAAACTCCAGCTGTGTCAGACTTAAATAACTAAAAGATACAATGTAGAAAATACAATTTGACTTTCGAGAAACTAATAGCGATAGATCAACTGTTTTAAACATCATTATCAGATGAGATTTACCACCTTTACACTTATGAAAACTTACCTGGATTTTCAAGAGAAGGCTCAAAAGCACATTTCCAAATTTTAGTTTCGTCATCTTCTTCCTTTTGGTTGTGACATCTTAAAAACATAGTAGGTGTAAAATCACCCAAGCTAGGCTGGAAAATAAAAGCTGTAAGAATGAGTTCGTACTATTTTCAGTTTTTAGTTTCTGGATATTTAAAGCTCAATATTAATGCTTGATTTTTAAGTATGTAAATGCATTAACTGAAAGAAATTTTAAATAGGAAATAGTTTTAAAAACTATTTTAACTAAACATGTATGTTAATGGGTTGAGAGTTGTATAGCTTGTGAAAGTTATAGGCTACGTATTTTATTTTTGTCGTGTGCGTTTTAAAATCAGAAACACAGAACTAAAATTTTTAATTTACAAATGACACTTAACTTATAGTTTGTAAATGGTTTAGGAAAATGTTCTCAAATACTTACCAAATGACCTAGGTCGGGTGCTTTCCTTTTTATGCCTCTCCTAGCCATTTATATGGTTGAAACTGTTGAACGAGCAAAACATAAGGGTTTAAAATAAAGAATGCAGTTAAATTGTGTTGGTTCATCTATTATGCATATACTTTTTTCTGCTGACAGTATCAATGTTAGTATAAATATAAGGCAAGGCATGTTAGTATTGTTAAGCCTAATTTTGATTACTGTTTAATTAGACTAATTAGTCTATTTTTGCTAGGACAGTTTTTAAAAAAACTTAAATGGATCCTATTCAATAAAAAAAAAGCTAAATAATAAATATAGGTCTAGGCCTAATGGCCCAATGCCCAATAAGCTGTAGAGTACTACCGTAGGGGCATAGCAACCCATTTCAGCGCACGATATATATTAAATATTTTATCGTTTTAGGTACGTAAAATCGCCCGCGACTAGTAATGTGAAAAACAGGTGACTCCTTAAATTTTAATAATCATTTCACATTTTGAGGAGGATTTATGTTTTGAAAAATACAAAAATGTTTCCATGTTTCATTTATGTACCTGTTTTCAAACAATTGAATTAAAACTTTTCAATAATAAATGAAGACTAGCGATGTTTCCAACAGATGGAACCATTCTCATTTACTATAGCAGCCATCTTGTTTAAGTTCTTTCTTTTTTAACTTATAGCACGAGATTCAGGGAAAGGCAACTCTATTTTACAAATGGCTGCTGTTTATATAGGAAATCTTGCTCGCAAACACTGCTGTTTAAAGTTAATTTCTGGCCTATATTGATATATTTAGCCATTGATTTAGGTTTATTATTCATTTATCTATGATATTTGACACAAATATATCACAATATTAAATTTAAAGCCTTGACAGTGAGGTAACTTTTTCGCACATTTCTAGCCGAGGGCGATTTTACGTACCCAAAACGATAGATTACCAACTTTTTCTCACATTACTAGTCTGAGTACTCTAGGCTACGCATCCTTGAAGTTGATAGACTCGGATAGAGTTACTGAGTAGATTAACCTGCCCTGGAATCTAACTAGATCTATTTATTATTTAAATTTAATTAAATTGAACAGTCAGTCAGTGTCATCGGCCACTTACTACTAGATCTAGATCTACTTCTTAGTAAGTTCTTAGCGCTTAGCCGAAGGGCTTAGATTTTAGATTCTAGAACTAGATCTTCTAGATCTAAATTTAGCTAGACTCTCCAAAATTTAGAACACTGCAGTGCTGGTTGTGCACACAGACAGCAGAGTGTTAGGCCTACTGTGTGACACAGTAGAGAGTAAAGAGTAGTCCGTAGTCAGCCGTAGTGTCATCACGACATCAGTCAGTAGTGTGTGCAATTTGCTGCAAAGCAATGTCTGAGAAATGTCTCACATCTCAAGTGTGCCTGTAGTGTAATTTACTAAATTTATTACGACATTAACTTATAAGTAGGCCTATTGCTTTTTTTTACCTATTTAAATTATCTAAAACTTAAAGATTACTAGATCTAGCCTAGATTTAAAATTTAGAATCTAGTACACAGTAGAGACTTATCATCAGCATACAAATTCAATAAAATAATACAGATGCCTTCTACTATGGCGGTTTTAGGTCGGCATGTAAACAATATTTAAAAATAATTTCGCATTTTACACTACGAATTTCTTGCTAGTATTTTGATTGGGATAAAGAAAGAAGATTATAACTAGAGTCTAACTAAGGCAAAAGAAAAAGTTCATAGATCTAGACTGACTAGAGTTAGTTATTTTTAAACTACCTTAGAATGTATATTAAAATATAAAAGAGAACGTCTATTCAGCCCCCCCCCCCCCCGAAAAAAGGCGCAATACTAATTAAAAAAAAATCCATTTGATCTTTTTCCTCAGGTCCAACTATTATTTTTATCTTAATAATTAAGAACGAAGAAGAAGAAGAAGATTAGAAAAAATCCAAAATCAAAACTATTAAAGGACATCAAGGCGTCATTCATATTTATTATACGACTTCACGTTTTTACAGGCGATTTTTTAACTCCCCCCTCCCCACCATTTTACATAGCGTCACAATAAGTCCCAACCTATGAGATCGTAAACAAATGTCACACTTGTAGGGGGAGGGGGTCACGTTTTTTTTTACGATTTTCCCCTCCCCTACGTCTAAAATGACGTCACACCTCAGCCTACAATACCCCCCTCACCCACCCGAAATTGCAGTTTAATTATTTATTTCTTTAAACATTGCTTTTTTCCGAACATTAATTAAATACTGTCTGAACTCGGTAACAAAGAGTATTTTATCAGTTCCCATTACAATTTATTAAAACAGTTTTCTAAAACAAAATAACGCTATCTAAAATTCAGTTTCTAACTTAACTTATTTTAAATGCAAAAATGTGACGTCACACTATCTGAACTGCCCCCTCATCACCTATATAATTATTTGAATTAAGGTTTGTTTTCGAGCATAAAATTTGAATTACATTTTAATTACATCTTATTTCTTTGAGAAAACAGGTATTCTTTGATATTGTGCTAATGGGGCGCCACCCAACAGCAAAAGAACGTTTTAGGGGTCATGCATAATGACGTCACGCTTTTTTGGACGATTTTTACCTCCCCCCTTTCCTCCGTCACACATCGTCATAAAAAGCCAGACCCCCCCCCCCACCCCCCATAAAATGACGTCATACCTCAGCCTACAAACCCCCTCAAAATTGCAGTTTTATTTTTCTTAAAACATCAATAATTTTTCCAAAATCTTGTCTGAACTCTCTCAACATACACTATTATAATCAATTTCTATTACAATTTATTATAAGTTTTCTAAAACGCGAAATAACGGCTAAAATTTGTTTTCTAACATTAGTTTTTGTTCATGCAAAAATGTGACGTCGCACCATCTGACCCCCCCCCCCCCCTCCATCCCCCTCATCACACACCATCACAAAATTATGGAACCCCCCACCTCCCCCCTACGAGTGTGACTTCATTTATGGACGACCCCCTTATAATAACAATGTCATTCCCCTTTTTCATTTTTTGTTCAGATTTATTTACCGCTCGTCGCCCTAACTGGCACGCCATAAATTTCATATACGAGCCGACCCGCTGCGTATCATACGCCGCTATTTAGTTGTTTTTTTTTTCTACTTTTCAGTAATTTACCTATAATTTGTGAATTCGACAGTACCAATGCTGCCACTGAAAATATTTGCTTAAAAACACTAAACCCCCCTCCCCCCCACGTGAAAGCAGCCTCCTCTTAGTTACCTCCTCTAAGTTTAAATCGTTTCAAACTAAATTATCTGCCCCTAATAGCCGTCACCAAACCCGTCTCTATGATTGTAAAATGTAAAAAACGTGACCACAGCTTACCAGACAATGTGGGGGTGGGGTGGGGGTGGTAGTGATAGTGATAGAGAGAAAGAGAGGGGACTGCAAGGAGGCGCTTGCAGCTTGTTTTCTAACGGCTCCCAGAAGAGAATTATATATATAGATTCTTTGTTCCCCCACCCCCGAAAAGATGTCTGAAAGACAGAGGCGTAGCGACCCTTCCCGGCGCCCGGGGACAAACTTTCGATTTGCACCCCCATCGAACTTTTCATTTGCACCCCTCCCCCCCTCAAACTTTCAATTTGGCGCCCCCTAAGGTCGGCGCCCGGGGACATATGCCCCCCGCCCCCCTCGCTACGCCTCTGCTGAAAGAAACACTGATTGCAGCTAGGCCAGTAGATCTGGAATATGTTGAATATCTTTGTGTGCTGTTTATCTAGACTTTTGTATTGAAACTGATAGTAATTTGTATTTTGGAAAAGCTCCAACAATCAAGAGACATCTAGCCATCCATATCTTCTCTGTCGTAATTCATTTAAGTTCAGAAATTTAAACTTTTACGGGTGGGGGGGGGGGGAAGCACCAGTGGCGTAGGCAGGGGGGGGTTAGGGGGGGTCATAACCCCCCCATAGACCCCTCGGTATATATAAAAAGTATGAGGGGGGGTGCAAATCGAAAGTTTGAGGGGGGGTGCAAATCGAAAGTTTGAGGGGGGGGGTGCATATCGAAAGTTTGAGGGGGGGGGTGCAAATCGAAAGTTTGTCCCCGGGTAAAAATTGGAACCCCCCCCTTGAGACGATCCTGGCTACGCCACTGGGAAGCACACTGGTAAAAGTTTATTATTTTCTATAGAAAACATCTATATCCGTTGTTGGTTGAGATGTGGCATAATAATATGATGTCACGAGTACAGGTTCTTTCAGACTGTTCTTTCTGGAGGGGGGGGGGGGCATTTGATATTTTCGGGGAGAGGAGGTGGGGGCGGACTAAATTTACCGGGGGCGGACACTGTTAAAAGTATATATTTTCTATATAAATGTCATTTCGTTCGGGGGGGGGGGGGGGGGGTGTAGCCCCGAAGAGTTGCCTGGAAGAAACTCTGGTCACGGGTAGGTCTCAGAAAGTTCACCCATCTCATTTTGTGTACACTTTTGTAGACATGCAGTATGGAAAAGGTGGAAATGTAAAAGAGAAAGAAGGCTCTAATTATTTGCGACATTGGGCAGCTTTCAAAACTACCGTGTGTTTAAAAGTATAAAAAAATCTTATTGATAAATATTGGCGACGATGTTGAGACGTTATGTAAAGGCACGTGAAAGCTCTGAATTACCGGAAATACAATTAGGTTATCAGCGCTTTTGTCTTATTGGTTATTATAATATTACTGGTAAACTAAAATGTTTCAGATTTTTAAAATACAATAAAAATAGAAAATACCATAAGGTTTAAATTTAAATTGAATGTCAAAACGTACAGCACAATAATAACGTCCATTCATGATCATCAGGAGTATAAAACCACGACAAACTAATGCTATACACCAGGGGTCGGCAACCTGCGGCTCGCGAGCCGCATGCGGCTCTTTTGATATCAAGATGCGGCTCTCCAGCTCTTTGAACAAATACTAATAATCTTAGTAAAAAAATAAAATATTTGAAATAAAAAAAAAAATGTTAGTGGCTCTTTAAAACCAGGGAAATTTTGAAAATTGTAACTTTTGGCTCTTCCGCTTCAAAAGGTTGCCGACCCCTGCTATACACGATATTCCATCTACAGTACGTTGTAAAGTCGTGTTCCATTGTAAAATATAGATCTAGATCTAAATATAGATCTAGATCTAGTCTAGTCTAGTCTAGATTCTAGAACCTACATATTTTTAAAAACATACTTAATAGGCTATATTATAGATCTAGGCCTACAAAGATTGTTTCAGATAACAAAATTTGGAAAATTATATCCATACCTTACAAAGTACTGTTGTAAGCAAGTTTGAGCTAGGCTGTTGCGCTACTTGTATGAATCCGATGAAACGTGCGGGATTATTTTATGTAACTTTTGTATTAAGCTAATAGGCATATTAAAGGCCCATTCGTGTTTGATCAATCGACTAGGCACGTGCACATCTGACAAAGTAGCCTAGCCTGGTCTAATGTGATAAACTCTGTGGTCTTGTTTTATAGGCGAGGTCAATCACGAACCCACTTTTTATATAGGCTTATTTTATAAGGCTATTTTAGGGAGAGCTCACTTTAAATAAACAATGTCTGACATAAAGCGATGACAGATGCAGTTCGCACCGTACAGCCTGTGCAGTAAAAATGGTGTCCAGCTAGACCTTGGCCTAAGGAAAAACAGCATAATTCAATTATGGTGGGAGGGGGGAATATATTTGTGTGTTTTTATAGGTTATATTAAAAAAAGTGATGGCGTGGTCGGACGGCAGAGCTGCTAACGACTGCTAACCTGAAAGTTTAGAGTTTGAAACCCAGGCTGGAGTCTCAAGGATGTCCCACGAATCCACCCTACTTTGATACAGTGGCGTAGCGAAGTCGGGTGTCATCCGGTGCGGCACTTAATGGTGTCACACCCCCCCCTCCCTCAGAGACGTTGCGACCCTTCCCGGGGACAAACTTTCAAGTTTTCGATTTGCACCCCCCCCCCCGTTCAAACTTTCGATTTGCACCCCCCCCCCCCTCAAGTTTTTCTCTATATATTTTGCTATTTTTCGCCTTGGTGTCACCCCCCTAAATGGTGTCACCCGGTGCGGTCCGCACCCCCCTCCCCCCCCCCCCCTCGCTACGCCCCTGCTTTGATAGACCCCTGACTCACGTTAGGGAAACTAATGCGTCTGGGCATAGTGCTGACCACACTATCCCTCACATTCCGATCAGAGTTTCTCTCCCCCCCCCCCCCCCCGAACGAAATGGAATTTATATAGAAAATGTATACTTTTACCAGTGTCCGCCCCCCCCCCCCCCCCGGAAAATGTTGACACTCCCCCCCCCCCCCCCCCCGGAGAAAAAAGTCTGGAAGAAAACACTGATTCCGATTTTGTTGAAACAGAAGAAATCTACTTTATCTGCTGCATACTGCATGTGTCTTGGGCACGAACGGGAAAGCTAAAATTCGAGGAACTACCGATGTCTGTCTGTCTGAATGCTTGCAAGTGGAAGCCAGCTGACGGGCTAACATAGCTACGACAGAATGGATAGGTCTGGGTCTATCACTAATAGGCCTCTACCTATCACTACCTTGTAATTTTATTATTATTATTTTCTTGTTAATTTTTGTATGCAACTATAGCTATTAAAAAAGACCACCCCCCTCCCTTTTCCTCAACCCGCTGCTGCGCGCAGTTACTAAACCATATTACGCAAACTAGGCTCAGAGGCGTAGCGACCCCTCCCGGCGCCCGGGGCGAAATTTCATTTTGGCGCCCCCATATATATATATATATATATTATATATATATATATATATATATATATATATATATATATATATATATATATATATATATATGCGTGTGTGCTTGTGTGTGCGACAGTTTTAAAAAAATTAACAATTACGCTGATTGTCGTTCCCTAAAACTTCACTGGACGCCAATTAAATTCCCCTTAAGATGCCGAAACGAATAAAAAGTAGAAAATCAAGAGAGCTTAGAACAGTGGCCACCATTGAACCCGAGAGGTTTGGTAATTCAGTCTCAGGGCTTCCGCTGATGTCAAGACCAGAGTTTCTTCCAGGCATCTCTTCGGGGGGGGGGGGGGGGGGCTAAGCCGACCCGAAAAAATTCTACCGCCCCCCGAACGAAATGAAATTTATATAATTTATATAGGAATTATATACTTTTAACAGTGTCCGCCACCCCCGCCCCTGAAAAAAGTCTACCGCCCCCCACCCCGAAAATTTCAAGTGCCCCCCTCCCCCCCCCCCCCCGGAGAAAAAAGTCTGGAAGAAACACTGGTCAAGACACACACCCGACTCATATGATTCACGATCGGATTTTGTCATTGTGGACGATACAACTATTAAGGAGGGTTCGGTGATTGCGCATATGAAACTGGTTGGGTTCGGTACTCCAAAAAGTTAAGAACCACTGCTTTAGAGTGTATTTTGTAGAAGGTGCAAGCCTTATTTGGTCTACTTTTGGTCGTGTCTTTAGAACAATTTCAATAATAGTAGGCCAATATTGCAATTTAGAATTATCAGTTAGGTTGAACAAAGTAATAATCAGTACAATATACTAATTTTCTTCTCTCTTAAAATTTTGGCAAAGAGTGTCGCTTCCCATCCACCCGCTCCGACAGTCTGCTAAATCTTTTTTTTATGTTACACAATCGTAAAATACGCTTTAGTTCAATGGATTACTTTTCTGGGTTATATCGGTTTATTCCTTAATCCGGTGTGAATTTTTCAGATTTTAGTCTTCGAAAAAGCGCCCCCCCCCATCTAGTCAAGCTGGAAAGCGGTTTTTCCGGTCAATGTTTCTTAAAGATATACGTTTTAGAGTTACACAACCAAGGTAGAAAACAGTTAAATCAGTATGCAGAGGCTTTTTGCCGTTAAATTTCTTTACTTTGACTGTTTATAATTCAAAATTGCAGCTTAAAATGAGCTTTTAATTTTTTTTTCTACCCCTTTTGGCGCCCCCCTAGGGTCGGCGCCCGGGGCGGCCGCCCTCCCCGCCCTCCCCTAGCTACGCCTCTGACTAGGCTATGGTGGGAATCCTCCCCATCTTACATACACATATATACACACATACACTAGGCCTAATTGATAAGGATTATACCGTTGTTCATATGGGCCTTATACATAGCAATTACGGCATCCAGTTATAATTACGTGAAAATCTTACATTTTTCTATATCGTGTCACCCATATAGTGCCCTTATACTGTTTCAGTGAATGATGTGTTTAACTATATCATCTGTCACAAACAGATGTTTACGACATGATAATAGGGCCAGAAAAAAAATCCAATAAAGACCTGTGGCAACACACCTTAATCAACAGCCAATAGACAGGGATATAAAAGCTAGAAAATGGGGATGGATAGGGCATACCATCAGAGGCGTAACGACCCATTCAGGCGCCGGGGCGGACTATTAACTTTGCGCTCCCTCCCTCCAATTTCTATATATAGTTATTTCTATATAAAGTTATTCCTATGACTGTGTATAATTTGATACTTCATCTTAAAATGAGCTTTTAAATTATATTTTCCTACCCATTTTGGCGCCCCAAGGGAAATCGCCCGAAGCGGCCGCCCCACCCGGGGGTACACGAAAGTAGACCGGCCAAGGAAATCCTGAAGGAGCACAGTAGAAGATGAGAGAAGGACTGCCGGGCTAACATGGGCGAAAATAAGGAAAGCAGCCCAAAACTGAGTCCGATGCAGAGGCGTAGCGAGGGGTGGGGGCGGGGGGGGGGGGGGGGGTGGGGCATGAGGTCGGCGCCAAAATGGGTTGGAAAAACAAATTGAAAGGGGGGTGCAAATGAAAAGTTCGAGGGGGGTGCAAATTGTAAGGTCGAGTCGGGGGGGGGGGGGGGGTGCAAATCGAAAGTTTGTCCCCGGGCGCCGGAAGGGTCGCTACGCCTCTGGTCCGATGGAGAGGTGTGTCTGCATCCCTTTGCTCCCCAGGGACCACAAATAAATAAGTGAAGCAAATATGATCTGTAAATTATCTCTTTTTGTTGAATTGTTATTTTTTTTATGTTTTAGCTGGCGTCAAAATATGCATATGCATATCAATCAATCGCGTTCTTTGTACATTCTTTAATCATTCTAGTGTCACCCCTCATCGAGATAAAGAAATACAGAAATCGATGTAGTAAAAACTGCAATTTTGAGGGATGGGAGTTGTTGGAAGAGATATGACATTAGACATCTTTAAAAAGCATGACGTCATTGATTGAAGACCCCCCCCCCCCCCGGGGGGCGGTAGACTTTTTTCGGGGGGGGGGGGGGCGCCCCCTGGATGAAACTCTGCCCCCGATCAAATCAGATGAGAAAACAGACATTATACACTAAACAACAAAAGAAAACTAACTAAAGAACACGGATGTAGATCTAAGCTTTATTTGTTAGGCTATAGATATAGTAAATTGGAATAAAATAAAAAATATTGGCGGTTTAGGAATCGGGTATTTGATTTAGGCCTAAAACACGATAGGCAGGGCATAGGCTATACGTGGATTATTATTTTGTAATTCTGTGTTATATGGGGTAGAGCTGGAATAGAGTTATTTTATAAAACACTGACTTTGATTTTCAGGTTTTTAATTTATGCTACGTCGCGTTTTGCGAAAGAGGGGCGGGTTTCTAGAAATTGTATAGGCCTATTTTAATATGAGGTTTCGTGGTCTATGTAAAATAATACAATAACACTGTAGCGGGTCGGGGTGATAAAACTGGAATATTCTTTTATATAGTCTAGACTATAGATCTAATACGTGTACAATCCCGTAGAACCGTAGTCAATATAGTATTTAGGCTATACATTGGAAATCCTAAAGTTAAAGGGGGGGGGGGTGGGTCTTGATTCGTTACTGAGAAACAGCTGCCCTTTCCGACCTCGCCACCATCTGTGAAGATAATAAATAAGGTTTTTGTTTTGAAACGAAATCTTTATTTATTGTAGATAGGCATAGATCTTGATCTATGCATATTTATTAAACAACTTAGCCTAAGCATGAAACTCGCGAAACTTTAAAAAAATAATATCAAATTCCGGTGATACTTTTAAATTTGTTGATAAACACAAGATCTAACTCTAAATTGTAACTTCCGTTTTGAAAGTAAAAAAAAAATTATCACGATAACAAACGGTGGACACAATGTTAGTTTAACATTATTATCAGAAATCAATAAAGGCTTATTTCTTTGGAATGCTGAAGCTGATTTAGAATGCCACTGTTTCGACGCAAAACCTGTAAGACAAAAATAGTAGGCCCTAATGTAATTTAACCTTAGCCTCAGCACCCCCCTGTGAATTAGGTCCTGGGAGTAGGCGTTGCCCATTCTCGGCATTCTCACTCTTCTTCTTAGGTCTTAGGACTTAGGATCTTAAATCTTAGCAGTTGTAGCCTAAATTCAAAATCTAATAAAACATACAGAGATCTAGGCGTAGGTTCTATGTAGTAAATTATTCAATGTACCAGCTTTTGTGACTAGTCTGTCTGTGTGAAATAAAGTCATCAAGATCACACTTAGTCCTATAATTTATAATTTATTCTTTTTTAAAATTTAAAAATCGTAGGCCCTAGGCCTACTTTATTTTTTAATTTTTTATTGATATTAGTTTATGAGTTATGAATAAATTCAGATCATGTTACTAAATTAGAATACTTATAGATCTAGAACATGTTTAGCTCATTCTCTAAGTCTAACAATGTAGTTTTAGCCTATTCTTACCCTTGGTTTTAACTAAAAATTTTGTATCTAAAGCTGAGAGCAAAGCGAAGTCACCAAGTTCTGGGTCAGGGCTGATACGAACACCATCCAACAGATCCAACAAAAGTTCTCCACACTCACCCACATCACCAGACTCATGGGGGGATGAAAATGATATGGGTTAGTGCATAATTTCTTTTTAGGCCTACTTACTTGTATAATGTGCATTTGACTTTTGGTAGATTGTTGTGGAATTGGAAAAAATAATTCAGTTTGTATTTTTTTTTACAATGTCAAAAATTATACTGTTTTTCTCATGGTTGAATTTAGTTATAACATGGTAAATACAGTTAACCCTAATGATGAGATTACTTCACTTTGAAAACCATTATTTTTATTATCAGTATTTTGATGTTTTTTTTTACTATTTGTTGTGTCAATGTCAGGTGTATCACAGAATCTCCACAATGGAAGTATTCCATGGGAGCACAGGCCTAAAACACTTATACTCTCTGATTCTGTTCTTCAAGAAGGTCAAGGTTAGTGACAATGTTAAAACAGATGACACTGGTGTTCTCATGATTAGACTATTAGATTATAGACTGCACAACGCAGAGTTGTATTGTTTTGTTGTATTGTTGTCAGCTGTGTTGGATTTGTATAATGGGTAGAGCAGACTTAAATTTTCTCTGTTTCACTCAGTTTACTATATAAAAAGTCTGGCCATTCTGAGATCAAATGTAGATAGTTTATGGCTGAGTTTCTTGTGACCCAGGGTACAATTTGTCAGTGTATAAACTGTCATTTTGACTCAACTTACAAATTGTCATTTTGACAACTTTACCAATTGCATAAATTGGGCAGGTTTATGCTACTTTGATGAAATCTGCTATTCTAAAACTATCTCTAACCACGCAGTATAAATTTGTATCCACTGACACCTTCAGTAAATAATTTATGTGTTACTTTTTTACTACACAGATATACCTGAAGGGGGCACAAAAATGGTGCAGTTTTATGCTACTTTGATGAAAACTGCTATTCTTAAACTTTTAAACTAGCTCTAACCACGCAGTTAAATTTGTATCCACTGACACCTTCAATAAATATTTTACTTTTTTACTACACAGATATACCTGAAGGGGCCCTGGAGTCACCGCTGAGAAATTCTTCTCGGCTGTCAAAAACGCTGCAGGAGATTTTACGCGACAAGCATGCCTTATCATGTTTCAAATCATTCATGCGAAGCCAGGCAGCCGAGCATATCATACAGTTCTGGTGCGATGCAGAGTCTTTCCACGCCTCGACACTTATGCGCCTTCGTACTCACTCTCTGCAGAGCATCTCCAAAAGCTCTCTTCACAAACGACGCTGTCTCAGTGACAGCAATAGGGCGGATAACTCTAGTTCAGGTTCTAGCCTAGTTTCTCCTGGCGTGAATTCCCTCCCCTCACCCAACACGGATGCACCAAGTGGGGACCTGCACCTGATTAGAGTTAAAGAGCACGATCAAAATAAAACTGAAAATTGTACAGATTTAAAATCTTCGCAACCTGACAGTATAGTTTCACAAACAACAGAATCTAGTGAAATAATTGTAACCAACGAGGAACTCAAAGACTCGTCTCCATGTGAATTAGAAGAAAACACCAGCTTAAATAACAAACCTCAAGAAAAGTCTGTGTCAGACTCGGTGCCGGTACTTAAAATCTGTGATAAGAACTTGCCCACTTCCTTAAGTGTGACAACCCATGGGGATGGTGGCAACCATGTTGTATTGAACCATGAACTTTCACCCTCCCAGCAGTATGAGGTGCTAGAGAATGAAAGCCTAGAGGACCAAGCAACACCTTCAGAAAGCAGCAGTGAAGACATTGGGACAAAGCTTAAAAAAAGTAAGCACTATTGTAACATGCTTTTGAATGTTGCTTTTTATGTTTCTGTATTTTCTTTTTATACATATAAATTTGACTTCAGTGTTTCTCTATGAATTGCTTGTTATCACAAATGTGTAAATTTGATTGTTTTATTTTAATTGAAGGAACATAATTTCTATTTAGATGACATTAGCAAAAACTTCTGTATAAAGAGTATAAGTAAATATTCCCCTTTTAGACCTAGTTATTCACTGGGCAAATCAATTAGTTCATATGTTTCGTAAACTCAGCATAAAGGGATAATGTGCTCAGGAGTACTATGCCCAGCCACCCTTACTTTCCCAACATGAGTAATCTCTATATTTTTACAGGTATAGAGAGAAATACTGTGAATGTGACCATATTTTCTAGTTCTATGAAAATCTATATTTCACAGGTATAACGAGTGATGCTGTGACCATATTTTCTAATTCTATCAAAATCTCTATTTTTACAGGTATAGAGAGAGATGCTGTGACCATATTTTCTAATTCTATCAAAATCTCTATTTTTACAGGTATAGAGAGAGATGCTGTGACCATATTTTCTAATTACATTGCCAAAGATGCACCAAAACCAATAGGAGTGGATGACAGTCTACGTGCTGAAGCTATTAGTAAATTTTTTTTTTATGAGAAGGTTTTATGTGTTAAGAAAATTATTTACTATAAACCAGTAACAATATATAAAAGCAGATCTCACTTGAGTATGGAATTTGTTACTGAATATTATTGCTAGATAAATGTGTATGTTGTAAAATTGAAGTATCTTTATAATGATAAAAAAATTTTGATTGAAAACTATCACATATAGAAATAGTTACTTTTTTTCAGTCAAGCATAATATGCTTAATCATTAGGGGCCTAATTAAAATTAATTAAAATAAAATTAATACAATTGTTGTTTTGTTTTGTCAGAATTTAAAATGTTTTTATTTGAGGCTTGTGCCATCATGTAGAAGAAAGTGAAAATGATACATTTTAATTTTTTACTTAAAACCTCCCCATACACAAAACAGTGCCCATAATGACCACGATGATTCTGCATTAGCATTCAACTTTATTGACAATAAATGTATTTCAATAGCCATCTGTACTCAACATAGTTTTTTTGATCCCCAGGCAAAATTTGTAAAGAAAATGGTGAGGTGGACCCAGAGTGTTTCATCTCCTGTCAGAACTTTGTGTTAAATAAACTTGATTCAGAGTAAGTCATCCTTGTATCATCAGCTTGTTGTACTACACCACTTGTTTCATTTATCCGGTACTAGACAGTGAATTCCCAAATTTTTTTGTAGGTATTACAACTCTTTCAAAGACAGTGAATATCCAATTTTATTTTAGGTATTACAAGTCTTTCAAAGACAGTTAATTCCCAATTTTTTGGTCAGGTATTATGAGTCTTTCAAAGACAGTTAATTCCCAATTTTTTGGTCAGGTATTATGAGTCTTTCAAAGACAGTTAATTCCCAATTTTTTTGGTCAGGTATTTCGAGTCTTTCAAAGACAGTTAATTCCCAATTTTTTTGGTCAGGTATTACGAGTCTTTCAAAGACAGTTAATTCCCAATTTTTTTTGGTCAGGTATTACGAGTCTTTCAAAGACAGTTAATTCCAAATTTTTTTGGTCAGGTATTACGAGTCTTTCAAAGACAGTTAATTCCCAATTTATTTTGTCAGTTATTACGAGTCTTTCAAAGAGTAAATTCCCAATTTTTTTTGGTCAAGTATTACGAGTCTTTCAAAGACAGTGAATTCCCAATTTTTTTTTGGTCAGGTATTACGAGTCTTTCAAAGACAGTGAATTCCCAATTTTTTTTTGGTCAGGTATTACGAGTCTTTCAAAGTCAGTTAATTCCCAATTTTTTTTGTCAGGTATTACGAGTCTTTCAAAGAGTAAATTCCCAATTTTTTTTGTCAGGTATTACGAGTCTTTCAAAGAGTAAATTCCCAATTTATTTTGTCAGGTATTACGAGTCTTTCAAAGAGTAAATTCCCAATTTATTTTGTCAGGTATTACGAGTCTTTCAAAGAGTAAATTCCCAATTTTTTTTGGTCAGGTATTACGAGTCTTTCAAAGACAGTGAATTCCACTGCCGGCACCAGGTCCATGTTTTGACAACAGAAAAAGTTTTCCTGCCAGACATTCTGCTCAATGAGAACGCCTTATGTTATTTCATGGAGGTGAGTCATTTAGTATGGGGGGGGTAGTCAAAATGCCTTATGTTACTTAATGGAGGTGTGTCCTTTAATATGAGGGGGGAGGGGGGAAGTTGTTACTATGCTTAATAATACTTCATGGCGGTAAGTCATTGAGTATGGGGTAAGGTGGTCCTCTTAACTTCTCACTTAAAAAGGGGACATTTTTATCTTATTTTAGACAGTTAAAAGTAAAACATTCAAAGGTCAGAGACTACTTATTCTAAATACTAAAAGTTTTTCACAATTGAAAAAAATAAATAGAGTGCTTTACTCTTAACCAAATAGGACATAATAACCTCAAGGTGCAAAATGGCTCTTGCAGTGATGGGGGGTAAAAAAATTGCTCATCAAATTATATTTAATTTTAAGAAAATAATTTACACCTTGCCTCAAAAGATTTCTTCCAGAAATTGTTCAGTAAATTAAAAAAAAAGCATGCTTATTTAAACAAGGTTCTTTGGAACAGTTTATAATGACACTAAAATGATTGATATACCTTTACATGACCCAATTGTTTTCTATGGACCAGTTTATAATGACACTAAAATAATTGATATACCTTTACATGACTCCATTGTTTTCTACTGATCAGTTTATAATGACACTAAAATGATTGATATACCTTTACATGACTCCATTGTTTTCTACTGATCAGTTTATAATGACACTAAAATGATTGATATACCTTTACATGACTCCATTGTTTTCTATGGACCAGTTTATAATGATACTAAAATAATTGATATACCTTTACATGACCCACTTGTTTTCTATGGACCAGTTTATAATGACACTAAAATGATTGATATACCTTTACATGACCCACTTGTTTTCTACTGATCAGTTTATAATGACACTAAAATAATTGATATACCTTTACATGACCCCATTGTTTTCTACTGATCAGTTTATAATGACACTAAAATAATTGATATACCTTTACATGACCCCATTGTTTTCTACTGATCAGTTTATAGAACAAGAAGGGGCCAGTGACTTAATGCAGCTGTGGCTAGCTGCTGACAACTTTCAGCAACAGCTGACCATCACAGGTGGTCAGTATGATGGAGAGCAGGCCCAGGTTGATGCCATGGTTATATATGACAGGTCAGTTTGGGTTAGTCAGGCACACAGGTGGGTGGGTGTAAGGCTTGGAGATGGGTTAGTGCAAAGCTTAGAAGTGGATGGGGGGGGAGGGTATAAGGCTGACAGGTGGGGGGGGGGGGGAGGTGTAAGGCTTGGAGATGGGTAAGTGCAAGGTTTAGAAGTGGATGGGGGTTATAAGGCTGACAGGTGTGGGGAGGTGTAAGGCTGGCACTTGGGGGGTATAAGGATTACTGGTGGGTGGGTGTAAGGCTTAGAGGTGTCTATTTTGTCCCCACAGAAATTCCCCTCTAACTGTATATTTTGCCCCCCCCCCCCCCAATACCTTCTCTAATTTGTCCCCCCCCATACACCCCCTCTCACTGTATATTTTGTCCCCCCATACACCCCCTCTCACTGTATATTTTGTCCCCCCATACACCCCCTCTCACTGTATATTTTGCCCCCCCCCCCCACCCCAGGTACCCCATATCTCACTGTATATTTTGTCCCCCCAGATACCCCCCTCACTGTATATTTTGTCCCCCCAGATACCCCCCTCACTGTATATTTTGTCCCCCCAGATACCCCCCTCTCACTGTATATTTTGTCCCCCCAGATACTTCTCCCTGCAAGCAACACACCCAGTTGGTTTTGATGACAAACTAAGGTTTGAGATTGAAGGCAATATCTGCAGGGAAGGTGGACCTCTACCTGACTGCTTTGTTAAAGCCAAGAATATTGTCTTGAAAATATTAGAGAAGGTATTTTGGTTACCACAAGAATATTTGTGTGTAAATTTTAACTCACATCATATATGGGCTTTATATCTTTATGTGGGAGAGTATATGTTTCCATAGTTGTATTTCAAGTATGCTTGCCTATATTTCCCTAGTGTATTTCCAATATCAAGTCTACTTTGCTTATATTCCTCTAGTTGTATTTCAAATATCAAGTCTGCTTTGCTCATATTCCTCTAGATGTATTTCTCCAACTACCTAAAAAGTCTACTTTGCTTATATTCCTCTAGATGTATTTCTCCAACTACCTAAAAAGTCTACTTTATATTCCTCTAGATGTATTTCTCCAACTACCTAAAAAGTCTACTTTGCTTATATTCCTCTAGATGTATTTCTCCAACTACCTAAAAAGTCTACTTTGCTTATATTCCTCTAGATGTATTTCTCCAACTACCTAAAAAGTCAAGTCTACTTTGCTTATATTCCTCTAGATGTATTTCTCCAACTACCTAAAAAGTCAAGTCTACTTTGCTTATATTCCTCTAGATGTATTTCTCCAACTACCTAAAAAGTCTACTTTGCTTATATTCCTCTAGATGTATTTCTCCAACTACCTAAAAAGTCTACTTTATATTCCTCTAGATGTATTTCTCCAACTACCTAAAAAGTCTACTTTGCTTATATTCCTCTAGATGTATTTCTCCAACTACCTAAAAAGTCAAGTCTACTTTGCTTATATTCCTCTAGATGTATTTCTCCAACTACCTAAAAAGTCAAGTCTACTTTGCTTATATTCCTCTAGATGTATTTCTCCAACTACCTAAAAAGTCAAGTCTACTTTGCTTATATTCCTCTAGATGTATTTCTCCAACTACCTAAAAAGTCTACTTTATATTCCTCTAGATGTATTTCTCCAACTACCTAAAAAGTCTACTTTGCTTATATTCCTCTAGATGTATTTCTCCAACTACCTAAAAAGTCAAGTCTACTTTGCTTATATTCCTCTAGATGTATTTCTCCAACTACCTAAAAAGTCAAGTCTACTTTGCTTATATTCCTCTAGATGTATTTCTCCAACTACCTAAAAAGTCTACTTTATATTCCTCTAGATGTATTTCTCCAACTACCTAAAAAGTCTACTTTGCTTATATTCCTCTAGATGTATTTCTCCAACTACCTAAAAAGTCAAGTCTACTTTGCTTATATTCCTCTAGATGTATTTCTCCAACTACCTAAAAAGTCTACTTTGCTTATATTCCTCTAGATGTATTTCTCCAACTACCTAAAAAGTCAAGTCTACTTTGCTTATATTCCTCTAGATGTATTTCTCCAACTACCTAAAAAGTCTACTTTATATTCCTCTAGATGTATTTCTCCAACTACCTAAAAAGTCAAGTCTACTTTGCTTATATTCCTCTAGATGTATTTCTCCAACTACCTAAAAAGTCTACTTTGCTTATATTCCTCTAGATGTATTTCTCCAACTACCTAAAAAGTCAAGTCTACTTTGCTTATATTCCTCTAGATGTATTTCTCCAACTACCTAAAAAGTCTACTTTGCTTATATTCCTCTAGATGTATTTCTCCAACTACCTAAAAAGTCAAGTCTACTTTGCTTATATTCCTCTAGATGTATTTCTCCAACTACCTAAAAAGTCTACTTTATATTCCTCTAGATGTACTTCTCCAACTACCTAAAAAGTCTACTTTGCTTATATTCCTCTAGATGTATTTCTCCAACTACCTAAAAAGTCAAGTCTACTTTGCTTATATTCCTCTAGATGTATTTCTCCAACTACCTAAAAAGTCAAGTCTACTTTGCTTATATTCCTCTAGATGTATTTCTCCAACTACCTAAAAAGTCTACTTTATATTCCTCTAGATGTATTTCTCCAACTACCTAAAAAGTCTACTTTGCTTATATTCCTCTAGATGTATTTCTCCAACTACCTAAAAAGTCAAGTCTACTTTGCTTATATTCCTCTAGATGTATTTCTCCAACTACCTAAAAAGTCTACTTTATATTCCTCTAGATGTATTTCTCCAACTACCTAAAAAGTCTACTTTGCTTATATTCCTCTAGATGTATTTCTCCAACTACCTAAAAAGTCAAGTCTACTTTGCTTATATTCCTCTAGATGTATTTCTCCAACTACCTAAAAAGTCTACTTTATATTCCTCTAGATGTATTTCTCCAACTACCTAAAAAGTCTACTTTGCTTATATTCCTCTAGATGTATTTCTCCAACTACCTAAAAAGTCTACTTTGCTTATATTCCTCTAGATGTATTTCTCCAACTACCTAAAAAGTCTACTTTATATTCCTCTAGATGTATTTCTCCAACTACCTAAAAAGTCTACTTTGCTTATATTCCTCTAGATGTATTTCTCCAACTACCTAAAAAGTCAAGTCTACTTTGCTTATATTCCTCTAGATGTATTTCTCCAACTACCTAAAAAGTCAAGTCTACTTTGCTTATATTCCTCTAGATGTATTTCTCCAACTACCTAAAAAGTCAAGTCTACTTTGCTTATATTCCTCTAGATGTATTTCTCCAACTACCTAAAAAGTCTACTTTATATTCCTCTAGATGTATTTCTCCAACTACCTAAAAAGTCAAGTCTACTTTGCTTATATTCCTCTAGATGTATTTCTCCAACTACCTAAAAAGTCTACTTTGCTTATATTCCTCTAGATGTATTTCTCCAACTACCTAAAAAGTCAAGTCTACTTTGCTTATATTCCTCTAGATGTATTTCTCCAACTACCTAAAAAGTCTACTTTGCTTATATTCCTCTAGATGTATTTCTCCAACTACCTAAAAAGTCAAGTCTACTTTGCTTATATTCCTCTAGATGTATTTCTCCAACTACCTAAAAAGTCTACTTTATATTCCTCTAGATGTACTTCTCCAACTACCTAAAAAGTCTACTTTGCTTATATTCCTCTAGATGTATTTCTCCAACTACCTAAAAAGTCAAGTCTACTTTGCTTATATTCCTCTAGATGTATTTCTCCAACTACCTAAAAAGTCAAGTCTACTTTGCTTATATTCCTCTAGATGTATTTCTCCAACTACCTAAAAAGTCTACTTTATATTCCTCTAGATGTATTTCTCCAACTACCTAAAAAGTCTACTTTGCTTATATTCCTCTAGATGTATTTCTCCAACTACCTAAAAAGTCAAGTCTACTTTGCTTATATTCCTCTAGATGTATTTCTCCAACTACCTAAAAAGTCAAGTCTACTTTATATTCCTCTAGATGTATTTCTCCAACTACCTAAAAAGTCTACTTTGCTTATATTCCTCTAGATGTATTTCTCCAACTACCTAAAAAGTCAAGTCTACTTTGCTTATATTCCTCTAGATGTATTTCTCCAACTACCTAAAAAGTCTACTTTATATTCCTCTAGATGTATTTCTCCAACTACCTAAAAAGTCTACTTTGCTTATATTCCTCTAGATGTATTTCTCCAACTACCTAAAAAGTCTACTTTGCTTATATTCCTCTAGATGTATTTCTCCAACTACCTAAAAAGTCTACTTTATATTCCTCTAGATGTATTTCTCCAACTACCTAAAAAGTCTACTTTGCTTATATTCCTCTAGATGTATTTCTCCAACTACCTAAAAAGTCAAGTCTACTTTGCTTATATTCCTCTAGATGTATTTCTCCAACTACCTAAAAAGTCAAGTCTACTTTGCTTATATTCCTCTAGATGTATTTCTCCAACTACCTAAAAAGTCTACTTTATATTCCTCTAGATGTATTTCTCCAACTACCTAAAAAGTCTACTTTGCTTATATTCCTCTAGATGTATTTCTCCAACTACCTAAAAAGTCAAGTCTACTTTGCTTATATTCCTCTAGATGTATTTCTCCAACTACCTAAAAAGTCAAGTCTACTTTGCTTATATTCCTCTAGATGTATTTCTCCAACTACCTAAAAAGTCTACTTTATATTCCTCTAGATGTATTTCTCCAACTACCTAAAAAGTCTACTTTGCTTATATTCCTCTAGATGTATTTCTCCAACTACCTAAAAAGTCAAGTCTACTTTGCTTATATTCCTCTAGATGTATTTCTCCAACTACCTAAAAAGTCAAGTCTACTTTGCTTATATTCCTCTAGATGTATTTCTCCAACTACCTAAAAAGTCTACTTTGCTTATATTCCTCTAGATGTATTTCTCCAACTACCTAAAAAGTCTACTTTATATTCCTCTAGATGTATTTCTCCAACTACCTAAAAAGTCAAGTCTACTTTGCTTATATTCCTCTAGATGTATTTCTCCAACTACCTAAAAAGTCTACTTTATATTCCTCTAGATGTATTTCTCCAACTACCTAAAAAGTCTACTTTGCTTATATTCCTCTAGATGTATTTCTCCAACTACCTAAAAAGTCAAGTCTACTTTGCTTATATTCCTCTAGATGTATTTCTCCAACTACCTAAAAAGTCAAGTCTACTTTATATTCCTCTAGATGTATTTCTCCAACTACCTAAAAAGTCTACTTTGCTTATATTCCTCTAGATGTATTTCTCCAACTACCTAAAAAGTCTACTTTGCTTATATTCCTCTAGATGTATTTCTCCAACTACCTAAAAAGTCTACTTTATATTCCTCTAGATGTATTTCTCCAACTACCTAAAAAGTCTACTTTGCTTATATTCCTCTAGATGTATTTCTCCAACTACCTAAAAAGTCTACTTTATATTCCTCTAGATGTATTTCTCCAACTACCTAAAAAGTCAAGTCTACTTTGCTTATATTCCTCTAGATGTATTTCTCCAACTACCTAAAAAGTCAAGTCTACTTTATATTCCTCTAGATGTATTTCTCCAACTAACTAAAAAGTCAAGTCTACTTTATATTCCTCTAGATGTATTTCTCCAACTACCTAAAAAGTCAAGTCTACTTTGCTTATATTCCTCTAGATGTATTTCTCTAACTACCTAAAAAGTCAAGTCTACTTTGCTTATATTCCTCTAGATGTATTTCTCTAACTACCTAAAAAGTCAAGTCTACTTTATATTCCTCTAGATGTATTTCTCCAACTACCTAAAAAGTCAAGTCTACTACAGATACTTGTCTGATCTCATTAGCACTGTCCAGATGTCGGAAGATATGCCCACTAAACCTTATAAGCACAAGAGAACAGGTATGGGATCTTTTAATGTAGGGGTTGGCTATGTTTGAGGGGTGGGGGTGGATGTCATGGGTCAGTCCTGTAATGGAGATGACAATATGGCCTGTGTAAGTCTTGGTCTCTCTCGCTTAAATTAAAATCTCATTAGCCAGGGAGATTTTCAAACAAAATTTTTTTAACACGCTTCCCATTGAAAAAAAAAATGGTGGCTATTTGTTTATGGACCTCGCTTCAAGATTTTAAAATACTAGGATTGGCCAAAATGCAACATTTGAAAATATTTTACTAATAATTAAGTACTCTAGGCATAAATGCCTTAAATATTATATTAATATTGTAAATATGTTTAGGAGAACTTGTTATGGATTGGAATAAATAATAACAAACTACGCTCCTTTTAAATAATTTTTTAACGAAAGCTATATTTTTCTTCAAGCTAGCCTACATCCTGTAGTCTATCATTATCACTGTTTATGATTTTAAATAACAATAGCTGAATTTTTTTTTTTTTTTACCTATTTTATAAAATCATATTCATATTTGGATTGAAAAGTACATGCAAACAAGGACAAGAACAAGAACTTGGTGACCTTCTTACAAGTTGATGTCGAGGTTATCTTTTACCTTGTGTCTTATCATTTTTTTTATCTTAACCCTCTCTCCCCTACACAGAGAGCGACGCATCATCTGAGCACAGCGCAGGCAGCCACAGCACTGGTGCTGAGAGTGTTGTCTCACGTAACACACTGCTGGCCGTTGACACACGTAAGCTGCGTAAGGTGGGGACCATTGAGGGTGACTTTAGCATGAACATGGACATGTTGAACCCTGATGATCTGTGGAAGAGGCCGGTTGCCAAGTGAGTTTGTTAATGGAGTTGCTAAGAGACGGGTCTATAAACATTTGTTGATGTTGTTGTTAGAAGATTGGGGGGGGTTGCCAAGTGAGTTTGTTAATGTAGTTGCTAGGATACAGGGTCAATAAATATTTGTTGATGTTGTTGTTAGGAGATTGGGGGGGTTGCCAAGTGAGTTTGTTAATGTAGTTGCTAGGTGACCGGGGTCAATAAACATTTGTTGATGTTGTTGTTAGAAGATTGGCGGGGTTGCCAAGTGAGTTTGTTAATGGAGTTGCTAGGATACAGGGTCAATAAATATTTGTTTATGTTGTTGTTAGCAGATTGAGGGGTTGCCAAGTGAGTTTGTAAATGTAGATGCTAGGACAAGTGAGTTGGTTTATGTTGTTGCTAGGAGTTGGGGGTTCCCAAGTCAGTTAGTTAATAGTGTTGCTGGAAGAGAGGGTTTCCTATTCAGGTTGTAGATGTAGTTGCTTTTAGTGACAGGGGCTGCTTTATAAGTTTGTTGCTAGGAGAAGTGTTCACTAAGAGTTTATTGATAGTGTTGCTAGGAGAAGTGTTCACTAAGAGTTTATTGATAGTGTTGCTAGGAGAAGTGTTCACTAAGAGTTTATTGATAGTGTTGCTAGGAGAAGTGGCCATAAAGTTGTTGCTAAGTAAACGTTGATTAACCTACACACTAGCATTGCATGAAACTCCCAAACTAGTTACCAGATAAAGTTGTTGATGTTGCTAGGATATGAAGCCTGTTGCTAGGTGACCTTTGATTAACCAACACACTAGCATTGCATGAAACTCCTAAACCTTCTTGTAGTTGCCAGATAAAATTGTTGATGTTGCTAGGATATAAAGCCAGTTGCTAGGTAAACTTTGATTAACCAACACACTAGCCTTGCATGAAGCTCCTCAACCTTTTTGTAGTTGTCAGATAAAAATGATGTTGCTAGGGTATGAAGCCTGTTGCTAGGTAACCTTTGATTAACCAACACACTAGCCTTGCATGAATCTCCTCAACCTTCTTCTACAATAGAACTGATTCTTCCCTCGGCAGCAGTTTGATCCTTGGGTCTGTTGCTAGTTAACCTTTGATTAACCAACACACTAGCCTTGCATGAAACTCCTAAACCTTCTAGTTGCCAGATAAAATTGTTGATGTTGCTAGGATATAAAGCAGGTTGCTAGGTAACCTTTGATTAACCAACACACTAGCCTTGCATGAAACTCCTCAACCTTCTTCTACAATAGAACTGATTCTTCCCTTGGCAGCAGTTTGATCCTTGGGTCTGTTGCTAGGTAACCTTTGATTAACCAACACACTAGCCTTGCATGAAACTCCTCAACCTTCTTCTACAATAGAACTCATTCTTCCCTTGGCAGCAGTTTGATCCTTGGGTCTGTTGCTAGGTAACCTTTGATTAACCAACACACTAGCCTTGCATGAAACTCCTCAACCTTCTTCTACAATAGAACTCATTCTTCCCTTGGCAGCAGTTTGATCCTTGGGTCTGTTGCTAGGTAACCTTTGATTAACCAACAAACTAGCATTGCATGAAACTCCTCAACCTTCTTCTACAATAGAACTGATTCTTCCCTTGGCAGCAGTTTGATCCTTGGGTCTGTTGCTAGGTAACCTTTGATTAACCAACACACTAGCATTGCATGAAACTCCTCAACCTTCTTCTACAATAGAACTGATTCTTCCCTTGGCAGCAGTTTGATCCTTGGGTCTGTTGCTAGGTAACCTTTGATTAACCAACACACTAGCCTTGCATGAAACTCCTCAACCTTCTTCTACAATAGAACTGATTCTTCCCTTGGCAGCAGTTTGATCCTTGGGTCTGTCAACCAGCTTGGGCAGTTTGTCTCACACTTTGAACACGACGTCGAGGCTGAGAAAAAGAAAGGTAAGAGCTCTTCAGCTCTTTGAGTACATGAATGTAACTCTGAGTACACGAATGTTACTCTAAAACTATTTAGTTTTGCATGTATTTTTTTATTTCTATTGATTGTTTTGGCTTTAAGAGCTGTTTATTTTTTTTAAGGGCCTATACTTTTTAAAAGAAGAAAAGAAAAAGAAAAGGTAGTTCATTATTTTATTATTTTTTAAACATTACATTTGTAGATATAAATTATCATGTGCTAAAAGAAATAGCAGGCCAGATAATTAAATTTTAATTGTTTCATATCTTTTGACTTGCAATAGCACTTTTTAAAAAATATACCAAGGGAAATAACTAATGGGTAAATTATCAGTTATTTATTTTTGGTGCTCTCTAGGAGGAAGAGGAAATGGCGTTAAGAATAGCTCAGATGATCATCTCAGATGTCAACACAATGACCAAGACAGGTGAGAACATGATGAAGAAAAGCTGACATCCTATTTAGCTGTGTACAGAAACCCTGACATCCCCTTTTAGCTGTGTACAGTAAGACTGACACCCAATTTACTTATGTACAGAAAGGCTAACGTCACATTCTGGCTGTGAAAAGAACTGACCTTCCGTTATTGCAAAGAATAGAAAGGCAGGCTTGCCATCTTGGCTCTGAAAGTAAAGCCGACTTGCCATTTTGGCTGTGAAAAGGACAGACATCCAACTTTGGCTGTGATTTCTCGCATCCACCCAAAATGTTATTAATAGGCAGACTACAATCTACTCACATAAACATTAACCAATGTAAATAGTGGCTATTTATAGACCATCCAACAAAACCTATGCCCTATATTGTGTAGATGTTCATTGATGGGAAGATAACTCCAAAAGACCAACCCAAAGTTGTTTCCCCTGCAAGTTTGTTGTTTGTAAATATCTTCACAGAGTCCTTCAGAATAACCTGCAGCATTTATGATGGTTGTTGATTTCTAGTGTGGTTTTTTAAATATTATTTTTTGCTTTACTGTATTTGAAGTGATTTAATTAATATTCTTTTAATGTGATTGTACAACAAACTGGTGTACACCAGTTGAAATGTTATGAAGATGTGAATCAAATTCTGTTTTTAAATTTGGTGACTGTTATGTAAGAAAATAAACCCCGAGCTTCCTGGTGTGACTAGGTAGATAGGTATATGAAAGGTGTAGGTGAGCACTAGGTAGATAGGTATGTGAAAGGCGTAGGTGAGCACTAGGTAGATAGGTATGTGAAAGGTGTAGGTGAGCACTAGGTAGATAGGTATGTTAAAGGCGTAGGTGAGCACTAGGTAGATAGGTATGTGAAAGGCGTAGGTGAGCACTAGGTAGATAGGTATGTGAAAGGTGTAGGTGAGCACTAGGTAGATAGGTATGTGAAAGGTGTAGGTGAGCACTAGGTAGATAGGTATGTGAAAGGTGAGCGTTGTGCTGGTATGGAGGCTGGTGGAAGTGTGAGCCAGCTTGTGAATCGTGGACTGCTTGGAAAAACATATTAGTAAATTTAAAGTTGAGTCAGTAGTTTCACTATCAGTATTGTAACCCAGGGTGTCACCCCCCCTTTTTTTTTTATATGGTGTCACCCTGTGCCTACTGATGAATAGAACTTTTCTAAATTAATAAACTAATTCACTGAAAAGCAGAATTTCTCATTAAAGTTTGCTATTTTTTGTTGTGGTTTCATTCTCTTGAATGGTATCACCGGGTGTGTCCACCCCCTCCCTCCCCGCCTTGTGACACTAGTTAGTGGATTAAACTAGACAGATAAAAACAGGGTAGTTTAATGTTTTTTAAAACAATTTTTACTTAACCAACCAAAGAGAGTCAAGCATGTCTGGATTTTGATGACTTAAAGTTGGGGGCGAAGTTGATTCTGGTTTTTGTTCAGTCTTCTTCATCTGAATCAGCCATCTGTGACCAAAGCTAGTACTCTCACGATTTAATCTTGTTATTTCCTCACAAAGAATATTAGTGTGTGTGTGTGCGTGTTAGAACACTCTGACCAATCCAATGTAATCAAAGTATTTAACAATGTAACCCAATCCGATCCAGTGTATGGATACTTTAAGGGTTAGTTCTTTTGTAAAATACATGTTGAAAGAGCTCATGCAACATAATTCAGCCTAACTGGCTTGTTATATTAGGACTATTTTTTAAAAAATTATCTCAAACTTTTAAAACTTTTGAGCAAATATCTTCATAAATTTTTCTTCTAGACTTGATACTGTGTACCAGTTTGTGCTGATTTCATCAAAATATGTGCACTCATAAGAAAATATGCACACATTTACATCAGCTAGAGAAATTTGAATGCCAATTTGTATGCTAATTAATTCACTAATTCCTATCAGGTTGCGTGGCTTACTAAGGTCCACTGGTAGCAAATTATATGGGCCCACATAGGACTGCTATGTTGGTGCTGATAGCACTATTCCAGTCACCAGGACTTTGTATGTTGTTACAACTTTAAGAAACACAGGGTCCTCTAATCTTCTAAGCTCCTTCCCCCCCTCATCAGCTGTAGTCCTTCTCACCCTCCCTCCCCCCCCCCCCCCCAAGCAACCACACTCTGCCTTCTTATGCTAGGCTCATAGGAGCAGATAAGCTCTACTTCATCTGCCCAATTGATGATCTGTCCATTAGGGGTAACTTATTTCTATCAGACGGAAAGCTTTCATGTAGTTTCCAGTATTTGTCTTGTGATAAGTTCCAGAAGCCTAACTATAAAGCCTGTTTAACTCAACTAGCATACAAAGATGTGGGTGACTGAAGTCGTGTCTACTGTACGTATGTACTTATTCACTTATTTAGATGTTACTGTTTCAGATTCCTGTGTACATATTTATATCATATTACATGTAAATATCAAAACAAAAAATATATATATTTTTCTACATTCTGCAACTTTTTAACATAAACTAGTCTTCCTTGTATTTCTGCAACAGAGATTGTAAAGATAAAAAAAAAAGTGGCCAAAATAGAACAAATCGCTATGCTGTTAAATTGTTTTGCTATTTTTACTTTTTATCTTAAATAATAGAAGTATGTAATAACGAAAGTGTGCAGTTTTAATTTTGTAACTTAATTTTCAAATTGTGTGCTTTAAAGCTCAATTGTTATTTCTATATAAAAATTATTGAATTTTAAAAAAGCTATTGTATGATAGATAATTGTTTAATTTAAATTTGTTGGAGTATTTATCGTGATTACCTATTCATATCATAATAAAAATGTTATCATTCCTCCTGCAAATAGAAATAATCTTTTATTAATAACTTAAATTATTGGCAATAAATTTTTTCACATCAGTTATTTTACTAACTAAAAAAATAATTTATTCATGTCTTCTGAAAGATGTAAAAAATGCTAATATATACGGAAACAGTATTTATTTGATGTTACTCTATAAAATGGCGCAGTATTGACTGTAATTTCTTAATGAAGGAAAAGGTTGATTGTTGACCTGTTAATTTTGAATTAATGATCACCATGTTACTTAGAAATTCTTTATTTTGTTCTGTAAGTATTTTTTAGTTTGTCAATTAGTGTTGCATGGCCTAGTTTAAGCCAGACCCCACAACCCATTAAAATAACATCACAACTCCGTGCCTAGCACTCTCCTCAAAATTGTTTTTTTTTAAAAATATCTACTGAGGTTGGTCAACACTCAGTATTTTGATTAATTTTTATTACTATTTACAAAATCATTTTAAAATACGAAAGAACTGCTAAAATTCATTTTCAAACTTTACTTATTAAAATGCAAAAACTGTGTCTCTTTCTACTCCCCTTCCTCTTCACTAAATATTTTTTAGAGAGACCTAAAAATATCCTGAATTATTTACCTTGATATAAGTCTGATAGTAAGTAGTGTTTTTTTTTGTCATTCATGTGGAGAAAAAAGTATTTTGGAAATAAATTTGATAATTTATTATTTTTATGTTTGTCGTTATTTTATAAAATCTTAATTCATATTTTACATAATTTAATAAATTCCCAAAATATTCTGTACGAGCCGACCCGTGGCGTATCATACGCCGCTATTTAGTAGTTTTATTTTCTACTTTTCTGTAATTCCTAATTTGTGAATTCGACAGTACCAATGCTGCCAATGAAAATATTTGCTTTAAAACACTAAACCCCCATTCCCCCCCCCCCCCCCCGTGAAAGCAGCCTCCTCTTAGTTACCTCCTCTAAGTTTAAAATAGTTTCAAACTGAATTATCTGCCCCTAATAGCCGTCACCAAACTAAATATTTAGCATGAACTACAACTCACCTGACCATGTGAGGGGGGTGGGGTGGGGGTAGCGATAGAGAGGAAGAGAGGGGACTGCAAGGCGCACGCTTGCAGCTTGTTTTCTAACGGCTCCCAGAAGAGAATTATATATATAGATGCCTGCCTAATCTTTCTTTTTTGTCACTATAGACCATCTTTTTAAAACCAAGGTTTTGAGTATCCCTGGGATTAGGAATTTAAATTTGTGAGCCAGATTTTTCTAGCAACTGGACTTAATTCCTTGGAGGTCCTGAAACAAGTTTAAAATTCAAGTCTTAATTAAAACTTCCAAAACATGTAATGTATCACATGCAGCCTAAAATATTTTTGGATTCTTAATTATTTTGTGATAATAGTTTACAAGCCTCATCATGTACTACTGTGTCACCCACCACTAGGCCAGATAAAAATATCATTCATCAAACCAAATGTCTCTTACTTAAAACCAGAAATAGAACATGAGGTATAAAAAATGTAGGTGCATTTTGAAGTTAATGATTTTATTTTTGTTTGGTTCTGTCATATAAAAAAATAGACAAATAAAAAACAAAATTCTGTCTGAAAGTAATTTCTTTAAAAAAATATTTTCTTCTCTTTATGGCAATCAATATAAAAAATTATTTAAAAAATGTAAACAAGCAAAATAAACATTACATGGACCTATATTATACACATGGTAGAACTCTTCTATTGAAAAGTAAGACAATTCTTGGAAGTTGCTTGTACATGCAAAACCCTCTAAATTAACTTGACTACATTATTAAAGTAACATTATTGTATACATGTACAGCTTCATAACTGGAATGTTAGCATGGAATAAATTATATGTACCCCTTTTTATGAACCCCTTTTTATTATACTTAAACTGCAGATACCGAAGAATAAACTATATATTATATCAAATAATCTGCTAACCAATTAATTAAAAAAAAATATTTTTCCTTATGTGGAACTACACTCTTTAATTCATGTGTATATTAATCATAGAACAAACCATACAAATGTATATTTTAAATCTTCAATTAAAACTAAGATAAGAAAATATCTGGAATGGCTACAAGGACAACCTTCTACAAAGAACACATTGAAACATAAACGTAAAACAAAAAGTATAAACAGTAAAAAAAACAAGTGAAACAATTTTAAGATGATTATCTTTTGAATTATAACAACCAGCTCTCAGTATCCTTTTTTAATGTACAATTTAATGGTACAAAAATTATGTTTCATTGGGAATGTATGCCTAGGTGAGATACATCTCACCTGTATTTGATAAATGAGTGGGATATTTACATGTAGGTAACAAGATAACAATAACTCTAAAATTTGGAATGTTGAAGTCCTTTGTTTGCATGGGTTGTTCCATGCTTAATTGAAGCTTTGAACTATGTACTTCCCTGATATAAGTTTTTAAGTACACATAAAAACATATGTCAAGGTCATTCTACACAATAATAACTCTATTTGCTCTTGAAGAGGATAAATTAAAAGAACTATCAAAGTCCTATATATATGCGAGTTTATACATATGTTCAATGTACAATAATTATATCCATTAGTGTTGTCTTAAAACAGATGATTTATAAAGTATATCTGAATTGAAACTATTTTTATGATATTATTTTTAAAAGTTGTATACTGTAAATTAATGGGGAAAATCTGAATTAAAAATAAATGTTCAAACTGTATTCTAAAGACACTACAGAGAGAAAATGACAACTGTGAAGTTGATGTTTAGAAAAATGAGATAATTAAATGCTTATCTTTTGATACTTTTATATGACAACAGGGTTAAATTGTTTTGAAATTATACAAGAATTAAAAAAAAAAAACAACAACATTTAAAATGAAGTATTTTAAAGATAAGTTTGTTATCTATTATTTTAATTTCCATTAAACTTTGATTTAAAACTTAAATTCAGTAAATAATCTTAAAACTTGACTGATGTGATTCTGGGCAAGCTATGTGAAGCATTAAGTATAAATGATATCATTTGATTCTCTCACCTATAGAAAATTTTAAGAAAACCTATATAAAACACTTTAAAAATCCAACAATTTACATTTTAAAATTGTGGAATGTGAATATTTTTTCTTACCCTTTATAAATCTCATGCAATGCCAACACATTTTTTTTTATAAATAAACAAAATCAATTGTTATAAATACATTTTAAACATTTCTATCCTCCTATCACATTAATAAGCCAGTTAATTCCTTACAAAAACATATTATCATGAGACGTATGTAAAAAATAGATAAAACAAATTCTGAAAAGCTAAAAACAAGATTAATGACGTCAGCAAATACTTTTTTTTTTCTGTTTACCAAAAAGTAGAGATTGAGATTCCTGTATGGCCATTACAAATTATTTCATCCTTTAACTCAAAAAAATGAACATGGAAAATGACAACAGCATTATGGCAATAAATAATATCACGATTATCATCAAAACCATCTACAGAACACAAGCATCAACCTCAACAATGCTCACAGTATTTCTGTAAGTGATTACAACAACGTAAAAAAAAAAAAACAACGATACTAGCATTTTGATGAATGTATCACATATCCATGTTGGTCCTTAACACGTGGGTCATGGTAGTCCTGCTCCAGTTTATTTTGTAACCTATCCTTAACTCCACCAGCATTTGCTGCTGAATTAGAACTGAATGTTTTCATAGGGATAAAGTTTTGACCGTATGACCCAGACTGAAAACTTTGGAATGAACTTCTGGAGTCCCCATACCCAGATGTTGCTAGCTTTGATTTAGGGTTGTACATGTTGCTTTGAGCCGCTGCCAGTTTAGATTTGTAATCATCTCCGTTTTCTAAATCCCAGTTAGAGTTGGAGTCCAACATGGAGTAGTTTTTGGTTTCTGAGCTAGTTTTAAACTGCTGGTCGCTGCCGTGTGATCTTCTGACAGCATTTGGTGAACTGGTGTAACAGTCAAGTGGTGCTGGGTTAGAGAGTTTGGCATGGAGGTGAGGCTCAGGATTTTTCTGGCAGCTGGTTTCTCTGGGGTTGTGAGGTGGGTAGAACGAATGTGAGGAAGGTGAGACAGGCGAGATGGTTTTATAACCAGTGTGGCTGTAAGGAGGAGGGGGGACACTGGTGTAGTGGGCACCACTGGGTAACATGGGAGAGGTTTGGTCGCGAGATTTGGGGGAGTCCCGGTTGCCCAGAGGTCTGTAGATGGTGGAGAGGGTGGAGGATGATGTGGAGTACTGGCTGCTCATGCTGTTGCTGCTCTCCGGGCGGGCTTGGAGTGCGTTTGTTCTCACCAGAGGCACAGCCGGCTGGGGGAAACTTTTTGTGGACTGGTTAGTGTGCATTGAGTGTTTTTTCATATTCACAGACCTGGAAGAAACAGCTAAAGATTGTTTTGGAGTTTGGTTGGGGAATAAAACATTTGATAAGGGATTAATATTCGGCCTGTCCGGTCCATTATCTGTTCCTGTTTCATCATTGGAGGCTCGGCTGAAAGGAGAAGAAGATCCGGAGGAGTAGGTGAACGATGGAGTTCTGTTGACAAACTCCTGTGTGTACAAGCCTTTGTCTTGACTGACATGACTAGGCGGGGGAATTGTTTGTGCTTGTCCTAGTAATCCACTATTTTCAGAGTGATATCCGCTGGATGCAGAGGACTGAAGGTTGCTCTCTGCGCCTTCGCTGTGATCCGACGAGATGCTGTTTTCTCCTGTACCGCTGCCGTTTTGTGCGGAGGTCAAATGCCGCGGCAGGATAGAGGGCGAGGAGGTCACTGGTTTGCTGGAGTGGTTGAAGGTTATCCTTGGGCTTGGAGACTTGTTGGGCCCACCCAGGGGGAATAAAGCATTGTACGCAGACTGCTGAGGCTTGGCTTGTTTCCTTGGAAGTGGAAGCTGTTGGTTTCCTGAAGCAGGCAGTGGGTAGGAATGTTTTCCTGGCGCATCCGGCTGGCCGCCATTAAACCCAGTGTTGTACAGTCCCGACCTGGAAATGACATCACTTCCTGTTGGAAGCTTCTGACTAGAATTATTTATTTTTAAACTATTTACATGTTGCTCTAAATCCACATTAGAAATACTGGCAAGAGAATTATCCTTCACTTGTGAACTGGCTGGTATATGCTTTCTCTGAGCAGGTACTGGGTAATTAGCTAAACCTCTCTCCTCACGAAGTTTACGATTGGCCTCTTGGGATTGTATAATACTTTGCCTCTGCATACTTTCTACTGCTGTCCTTTGGCTTGACACGTCTGCCAAGACTTTCAGAGCAATGTTTTCATTAGAATTTACCCTTTTTTTATCCGCCACATCACTGGTTAGTAAACCACTTCCAGATTTATTAAATCCGTTTGAGATATTCTGCTGGTTCAGTTTTTCAAAATGCTCTCTAAGTTGAAAAGCAGTTTTGGTTGAGTTTTGGGAATTAGCATCACCCACCCCAGTATTGCTTTGTCTAAAATCAGTCACAGATGTTTCCATGTCTAACATTTTGTGCTGCATGTTTTTAGACGGCTGAGTTGGTAAACAATCCAAACTGGCAGGGTCATACCTGGTGTCTGCAGCGTCAAACGAAATTTCCTGGCTAATCAACTTCTCAGCGAATGTGACAGATTTACTACCTAATTCTTCCCGAAAGCTGCTGTTTTTGCCATGACTGCTCAAAGATTGTAAAGACATTGTGGACATTCTTGATCTATCCATCCTCTTGTCTTCAAGATCAGAAAAAGAACTTGACAACGAAGCCGAAGATTTCCGAACATGTAAAGAATTATCACTGGCCGATTGTTTCATTTTGTTGCTTTCCGTTAGATCTAAATTTAGCCCGACCTCCTGGAGGTTCAGTTCCACCACCTCGGGCGTGGTCTTGCCTGACTCCGAGGTCATGACCCCGGCAGCGCTGTGGTGGCCGTACATGGTTCGGATCCTGGCCTGGTGGGACAGCTGCAGCGCTGGGTCCAGCTGTGGGGACTGGGGTGACCGGGGAGAGGCCGAGGGCGTTGACTGCTCTGATGTGCTTGAGAGGGAATATGAGCCATCCAGATGCCGCCCTGTTAGGCTTCCCTATAAGAAAAAAATAAAATAAATTGATTATTTAAAAATAAAATTGATAATCTATAACACTAATTTTAGGGAAGTAGTTATATGGTTTGTAATATTAAAATACAGATCAAGTTTATTTAAAGTGTTTTTTTTTTCAATAAGAAACATTACTTATGTGCATATTTAAACAGACAGGGAGGAAAGCAAAAAAAAATCCATCAGATGTAAAAGTGTTTGAAGTTAGAACATATGTTTAAGATTTTCCTTTCAATGAATTCACTAGTGGCAGTATTTCGGCTATTATTGTTTGATTTCAACCATACCTCTGGAGTCATATATAAAAAAAAAAAAGAATTTTACTTATCTAAATATATAAATGATATGAAAAACAAAATTCTATAATTAAAAAAAAAACAGCAAATGAATAGAAACAATGACTAGGCTACACAATGCTTATGATAAAGAACTTAGTATTTTTTTTTACCTGCAACATAAGAGAGTTCCTGTGTAAATTCTTCACCTTTTCCATCTCAGCGGGGTTGAACAATGACCTTTTACTCCTGCCATGTGGAGACAGGGGTGGGGTGGCTGATGATTTGGAGAAAGTGGAGGAAGATGGCGCTGACTGGTTAGAGGAGAGACTCTCCATACTGCTAGAGGTGTCTAGATGGAGGGTGCGGGGTGCATCTTGGGTATCTAAATATATGTCATGGTGATATAAAATTTTAATTTTGCCTCTTTTATATGGAAGTTACTATTTAACGAAAACAGGGCTCTCCTCCTTAGAATGTAACAAATAAATTAGATCTAGTGTTAATTGAAAAACTTAACTTTAGCTACTGTAATAATAATTCATGGAATATATCTAAAAAAATAATAATTCTCAAGTCAATTTATTTTTTTATGTCGTGGATGTACCACTTACCGAAAACAGACACTAAAGCCTGTAGAGCAAATTGTAGATGTCTTCTCATTGCTTGTTTGCTTAACCTCAGGGTCACATTGTTGGTGCCCACATCTACAAGATCTAGGCCTGCAGGAACACAACATTCAAATTTTACTCCTCATAATAACTATAGGAAATCTCTAGTCATTTACAAATCATTTATTGGCTAAAAATTATTAGGAAGCAAAAAATGCCTAAACTTTATTTTAATATGTCATGCTACAAAATATTTAAAGATAACAATAGAAATATTTTAGAGTTTATGTGTTCGGAAAAAAAAATTGAAATTATTGGAGTAAAAGTGAAAAAATGGAACATTTTTATTGATGTCAAATGAATGCATTTACATAAAAATAAACAGACCAACATATTGTGTAACAGTAGAAGCTACAACTTTAATCTATTATTTCAATTATTTTTTACAATCATTAACAATAAAAAAAAACCTTACCAAGAGAAGCCAGAAACTCATGACAGCCAGTAACAATGAAAGTACTCACCAAGAGAAGCCAGAAACTCATGACAGCCTGACACACCCCACAGCTTGACATCTACCATGACGTCAATGCCAGACTCCTTGGCTGACAATTTGCTCAAGATATCTCGCATCTGATAGAGAGAGAAGATAATATTTCACATGAAGACTAGACAACATTCCACAGTGTCAACTCTCGCTAAGGGACTGTAATCCATTTCACATTGTAAACTTGAGTTTATTAAGCATGTTTAAAAACTGAGTTATTTAATAAAATAGATTGCAAATGAAAAAAAAAAATACAATGGCATGCAGTACCTGAATCAACACAATTTAAAAATACAATTTAAAAAATACAATTTAAAAAATACAATTTAAAAAATACAATTTAAAAATGGCATGCGGTAGCTTTATCAATAAAATAAAAAAAAATACAATTTAAAAATGGCATGCAGTAGCTTTATCAATTTAAAAAAAAAAAAAATTACAATTTAAAAATGGCATGCAGTAGCTTTATCAATAAAATAAAAAAAAAAATTACAATTTAAAAATGGCATGCGGTAGTTTTATCAATAAAATTAAAAACAAAATACAATTTAAAAATGGCATGCGGTAGCTTTATCAATAAAAAAAAAAGATACAAATGAGAGAGGGAACTTACCACATGAATAAGAGCCTCCCCTACATCAAAGTTGCTGACAAACTTGGACATGGCACTAACAGAGCTGGTGGGTAACCCTGGAAACAAAACACAACCATTGAACACCCAGTAGATACTTGAGTCATCACATTAACAAACCACAATCCCCACTAACTTTTATATGATTTCATAACATTACCTATGGACTTAATGTAGTTTTAGAACTTAAAGAATTTTAAGCCAGAATTTTTTTTCCATAACTTGGCTTGTAAAATATCAAAACCTTACTTTGTTAATTATCAAAAAATTACAACTTATTCACATTTCTTCAACGAAAATAGATTATAAGCTTTATTTTTAAAAAATTTGATATATTAAAGCTATTTAATTTGGTTGTGAAATAAGAACTAATTGTTACACTGCAATGGAAAACTGCACACAAAAATGTACTCTAGAGCATTTTTGTTTTCTTAAATCAAGCATTTATAGACATTAACAAAGAATGACCACATGTACACTGTAGCAAAATAAAACATTTTTCCATGAAATATGACCAAATTAAAGTATCATTGATTAGTGTTTTTATCATTTTTCTGTTGCACAGTTTTCCATTTCAGCCTTTTTTTCTGGGAACAGAACTAAACACATCATTTTGTTTCACTGTTTTGGTCAATCCATGTTTTTAAATAAATCTCCTACCTAAAAAGGCCTGCAGGCTGGCACTAGCTTGGGTCAGCCTCTCGTTAGGATCAGCTTGTGGGAAGAAGACTGCTGGGGGCAGACCCCCAGTGGAGGGTTCAAACCTAAACCCTACAGCTTGCAGGAAGTCCTTCCATCCGCTGACCTGCCCCACTTTGTTCTCAATGCTCTGCTGGGTGGTGAACATGGAGTTCTTGCAGCCCTGCTGGATCCTCTGGAGGGATTTCTCTACCTGTGGGGCATACATGTACAGGTGGACTCAGTGAATGGGCTTTATCTAACATACAAATATACAACCTGTGGGGCATACAGGTGCACTCAGTGAATGGGCTTTATCAACTTTATGTAACATACAGGTATAGGTGCACTCAGTGAATAGGCTTTATGTAACATACAAATATACATACACTCAGTGAATGGGCTTTATGTAACATACAAATATACAACCTGTGGGGCATACAGGTGCACTCAGTGAATGGGCTTTATCAACTTTATGTAACATACAGGTATAGGTGCACTCAGTGAATGGACTTTACATAGCTTATCAATATACATACACTCAGTGAATGGGCTTTATGTAGCATACAAAAATATATACACAATGAATGCTGCTGACCACACAATATAGGCAAAGGATAGGTCAAAGAAACAGATAAGCTCTACGTCATCTGCCCACATATCATCAGGTCTAAAAGGGAACTTTTTATTTCCAATAATACAGTGTTGTTATATTATAGGTTCATCAAATAAAAACAAATCAATGTTCATATTAATAAAAATCTCCAAAAGCTTCTAACAGCTAATATAAGACCAAAAACAGATAACTAATCAAACAATTGTAAATCCTAATTAGTTTCTAAATAGTTTCTTATACTTTGAGGCAAAAACCATTTGAAAATTTCACTTCTTCTACTTGGATTTTGTGTGTAATTTGAATTAGCTCAATTTCCCAAATGTATATACTGAACAATATCAAGTCTTGTTGCATTAGTCTCTGTACAGTGTACAGAGGCTAATTAAGGGCATTCAGCTTTCTAGTGAATGGTGAAAAAAAAAACAACTTACCAGGTGGAGTAAGACTTTGAGGGTCTGTCTGCACGTGCTGTGGGCCTCAACAATCTGACCCAGGGCGTGGCCCATCAAAGCGACCTTCGAACTCAAGGTTATATCCGAGCCAACCAGCACCCACCCGCCCCAGTTTGACGGGTGCGAGAACTGAGCTGTCGTCTGCACCGTCTTCACCGCCAGAGATAAAGCTTTGGTGACCTTGACCCCGTCCAGAAGAGCCGTATACAGAGTTTTCATCAACAGCTTAGACGCTGAATCTGGCACCGGCCAAAGTGAGAACAAAACACATTGAGCCCCAGCTGACAGAAGAGCTCGTGTAAGTCCCACAACTCCGTCGGTATTAATCCGTCCAGCGCGGTCGTCCGTGTATCCGGAGTTCAAAACCACAAGCTTAGCTCGGAGTTTAAGGTTAAGTATGTCCGCAGCAGTGAGGAGATATTCAGACAAGGAGGGCCCTCCCATGGTGCCGATATCGCTGGCGCTGTCATCAGAGTCCATGAGAGGAAAATGCTGACTGGGACTGGAGAGGAACTCCCCAGGGGAAAGAACTACGGAGGATAACTTCCAGGAGATGTGGGCTGCAAAATGGATGACCTCCACCTGCTCGATCTGATGGAGGATTGCGCCTTTTGTTGCTTCTGAACCGATCAATGGACGACATGTTAACAGTTCTCCTAGAATTCTTGCTTCAAATTCCGCACCTGGAATTTCATGAAGGTGCCAGTGTTTGCAGATGATTGGCGTGAGCCTGGGGTTGCCGACAACTAATGCACCAGAAGAATGAACAAGAGGTCGACCTTTATTGTCACTCTGAGCATTCTGTAATGCGCTGATGGAAGGTACGATCAGGGTGGTGTATTTCTCAAACAAAAAACTCTCCGCCTGCTCGCGTCGGAGCATCAGGAATGGAATCAGGTACAAATCACCTTGCAAGACAAGAACCAGGTCAACCGGGTCAGATGTCCCGTGCCCCGCCCCACTTGTCCGAGACTCGGCTTCTTTTATCTCAGAAATCATCGACTCCATGGGTTCAATCAAAATTTGATACAACAACGCTAACGGAGACTTCCCACTGGCAAACTTTGACCTTTGACCCAACTTTTTCCCTAACCCTCGGAGACTTCCACTCCCCAGACTGGTCAGTCCCAGACTCCGCATGCTGCCGCCATAGCTGGTCAGTGGGTTGCTGGTCAAGCTAGCGGCTCCGGTGCTGAGCACACTGCCCAGGCTATAGCTGCTGGCGTTGAGGGTATGGCTGCGGTTCAGCATGGCTAGAAAACCGGTCCGGTCACTGTCAGCGTTGAGCTTGTCCCCAAGCTCCTCGAGTTGCAGCTGGAAGACGTCGTCCACCTCGCTGTCAGTGTCACTGTACTCGTGACCTGTCATCAGGGTACTGGACCTAAAGCAAACAAAATATGACATTTAGCCACATCATCAAAGTACTGGACCTAAGGCAAACAAAACATGACATTTAGCCACATCATCAAAGTACTGGATCTAAGGCAAACAAAACATGACATTTAGCCATATCATCAAAGTACTTGACCTAAGGCAAACAAAACATGACATTTAGCCACATCATCAAAGTACTGGACCTAAAGCAAACAAAACATGACATTTAGCCACATCACCAAAGTACTGGACCTAAAGCAAACAAAACATGACATTTGGACTGATGGTGACACATCATTATACTGGACCTAAAGCAAACAAAACATGACATTTAGCCTGATGGTGACCTGTCATCAAAGTACTGAACCTTAGGCAAACAAAACATGACATTTAGCCTGATGGTGACACATCTGGATCTTAAGCATAAAAAACATGACATTTAGCTTGATGGTGACACATCAAAGTACTGGACCTAAAGTAAACAAAACAGGACATTTAGCTTGATGGTGACCTGTTATCTGAACCTAAAGCATAATGAAAACATGATATTTAGCCTGATGGGTTCAACATAATCTGATATCAAACAGAAAGTTTTTAATTGTTTACAGGTGTAGAATATTCATAAGTCCACCCTGCTTGGATGGGTAGGTCTCATTAGGGAAACAAAGGCAGCTGGGCATAGTGCGACCACAGTATCCCTCTGCATGATGTGATCATCAAAACAGATTGCCTTTACTTCATCTAAACCATGTGTCTTGGGCACGAACGGAAAATCATTATGATAAAATGGTATTTGTACTTAGATCTAGAACATTTTATTTACAAGTATTCCAGATACATGTAGTCTCTACACATGACCAAAGAAAATGAGCAAAAGACTGACCTGTGTCCAGTGGCTGTTGTTGTGATATGGCTCTCAATGCCCATGCACTCCCTGACCTGACCCACACACTGGTCAAGTAGTGACAAGCCGGACACACTAATTAACGAATGTGTGTCAACGACCTCATTCTCAGAATCTAGGTCACACAGCCGGGTGCAATGGAACTTTATGATTCCTGAAAACAAAACCATATGTATTAAAACAAATTATTTTAGAAAAAAAAAACAGCATTAGCTTGAGCCAGTATTATTTAAACTAGTCAACATCCACCCCAATATAACATTAAAAATATTTTAAAAATTTAACTAGTGACCTAACAATATAACTAGCGTCCTACTAAAACTCAGGCATGATATAAACTTACCTTATTGGGTATAACTAGCAACCTTAGAGTGTAACTAGTGATCTTAAAATGTCTACCCATAATGTAAACTTACACAGAAAGGTCACTAGTTACGTTTAACCAAGGTAACTAGTGACCATCCAGTGTAACCAGAGACCTTGTAGTGTAACTCATGACCTACCAATGGCCAGACATCATGTAAACGTACCTTGATTAGATGTAACTCATAACCTACCACACTAACTCATGACCTACCAATGGCCAGACATGATGTAAACCAGGGGTCTCCAAACTACCGCCCGTGGGCCAGATGCGACCCGCAAGGTACTCTCATCCGGCCCGCGGAGATCATTTTGTCCACGGAAAAAATGTTTGTTGGAGGTGGCTGAGGAACTTTGCCCAGAAAAATCAAAGGCATGCTTGGAAGAAATTGGCCCCCGAACTGAAATTTGGTAGGTAATGCGGCCCTCGGACTGAAAAGTTTGAGACCCCTGATGTAAACTGACCTTGTTTAGGTGTGAGCAGCCAGCTATACAGGTACCCAGCAGCCAGCTATACAGGTACCCAGCAGCCAGCTATACAGGTACCCAGAAATGTAAACTGACCTTGTTTAGGTGTGAACAGCCAGCTATACAGGTAGCCAGCAGCCAGCTATACAGGTACCCAGAAATGTAAACTAACCTTGTTTAGGTGTGAGCAGCCAGCTATACAGGTACCCAGCAGTCAGCTATACAGGTACCCAGAAATGTAAACTGACCTTGTTTAGGTGTGAGCAGCCAGCTATACAGGTACCCAGCAGTCAGCTATACAGGTACCCAGAAATGTAAACTAACCTTGTTTAGGTGTGAGCAGCCAGCTATACAGGTACCCAGAAATGTAAACTGATCTTGTTTAGGAGTGAGCAGCCAGCTATACAGGTACCCAGAAATGTAAACTGACCTTGTTTAGGTGTGAGCAGCCAGCTATACAGGTACCCAGCAGCAATGGAGAAACACAGGACGATGCTGCTCTGGTTGGAGACAGTGTTGAGGATCTGCTCTATGGAGACTGGCGTCAGGTCCATGGTGGTGCCGTTAAACAGCCCAGCCGAGCCGGCCTGGCGCTCCAGGAGAAGGTCTATGAAGGCCCGCGTGCAGGCTCGTTCTGCTATGACGAGGGCCTCGTCATGACGGCTGAGTGACACTAGAACTCTCTGGAATTAAAAAAAAATGTGTCACTGATTAAATAAATAAATGGCTCCTTAGTCTGGGTCAGAGGCGTAGCGACCCTTCCAGGCGCCCGGGGACAAACTTTCGATTTGCATCCCCCCCCCTCAAACTTTCGATTTGCACCCGCCCTCGAACTTTTCATTTGCACCCCTCCCCTCAAACTTTCAATTTGTTTTTCCAACCCATTTTGGCGTCCCCCTAAGGTTGGCGCCCCCCCCCCCCCCCCCCAAGGTCGGCGCCCGGGGACATATGTCCCCCCGCACCTCCTCGCTACGCCTCTGGTCTGGGTTAGATAGCCAACATTCTCTGGAATTAAACAATGTGTCACTGTTAAATAAATAAATGGCTCCTTAGGCTGAATTAGATAATCAACACCCTCTGACTTAGATTATAATGTTTGCAACCATATTTTGAAAAATACATTACATGCAAACTCAAACAATTAAGACAGGCTCTATCCTAATCATTCTAATTGTTTCAATGTCTAGTTGTTACTATTAATTTTGTTGTGAAATATTCATCTATCAAAAGTGACTATAAGCCTACAGCCAATAGGCAAGCTATGGTTCTACCAGCAGTACTTGATTAAAAGTTAAGCCAAGGCTTTAAATTATTTTAAATTATAAAATTTCCTCAATATTTTGTTCGTAACTAATGTAAAAACTAAATATGTTTGGCTACTATTGTAATCCATATAGCAATTAAGACTATTTAATCTAATTTTGTCAACTTTCTATTTGCGATGTATTGTTAAAGATTACTAATTATGTTTGTATATGGGACAGATCGGCCACAAATGAGTAAAATAGAGTGGTTGTGTCCCTTTGCTCCACAAATGTTCTAAGAGAATGATGCCGACAATGATATAGCAGCATTTATATTGCTCAATACTTGTTTAAAATGATGAGCAATGTATCAACGATGCAGTAGCGTAACGACGGGGGGGGGGGGGGGGGGGGGACGACGACGACACTTAATATGTCCCCGGGCGCCGATCATAGGGGGCGCCAAAATTGAAAGTTGAGGGGGTTGCAAGTCGAAAGTTTGAGGGGGGTGCAAATGGAAATCTTGGGGGGGGGGGGGGAGTGTAAATCGAAAGTTTGAGGGCGCCGGGAAGGGTCGCTACGCCTCTGCAACGATGCACAGAAAAAAATTCCCTCTCTTGCTGTACTCACCTGCAGGGTTTGGTAACAGGCTGTCTGCAGGTCAAACAAGGACAGCCTGTACTCGGAGCTGCACTGCGACTCCCTGCGGATCATCTCAAACAGGTCAGCGGCCTTGTGCAGCTGCAGCTGGCACTGGTCAAGGTCACCTGCTGCCCAGAGGGCAAGGCCGAGCCGGTGCCGGATCTTGGCCTCATCCTCCCTCCTCTTGAGCTGCTCGGCGATGTTGAGACCTTGTTGCAGGTACTGGACGGCTTGGGTGTAGTGAGCCAAGGCTAGGTGCACGCGTCCTGAAGTTAGATCATTACAACATTGGTTAGATCCAGAGAAAGATGTTAACAACCTAAAGTTAGATCATTACAACATTGGTTAGATCCAGAGAACTATGTACTGGTTCTAAAGTTAGATCATTACAAAATTGGTTAGATCCAGAGAAAGATATACGCGTCGTAAAGTTAGATCATTACAACATTGGTTAGATCCAGAGAAAGATGTTAACAGCCTAAAGTTAGATCATTACAACATTCGTTAGATCCAGAGAAAGATGTACGAGGCGAACTATCTAATTTGTACCACATGGGCGAAGAGCACCCCCACCCCCATTTTACTAATCACTATCCTTTGCCATTTATTATGTCACACAAATTGAAAAGTTAGTTAGGAAAGCGAGTATATATATTTTTTAACTTCGACTGTGCGTAATTCGGCGAAGCAGCTCAAAATTAGTTTTTAACCCCGTTTGGAGCCCCCTTATGGTCGGCGCCCCCTTATGATCGGCGTCCGGGGCGGCTGCCCCACCTGCCTCTCTGTACGTAAAGTTAGATAATTACAACAAACTTTAGACCCAAAGCGAGATATACGCCTACACATCCTACATTTTTGAATAGATCCAACCAAGCTCATTCCTTTTACACATTCCCTGGAGTGGACTTGCCCAGACTACTTAACAAAATGACCCTGTTGTACCCAACACTTAAAGTGGACTTACCCAAACCAAACACCCTCCCATACCCATTCCTGACAGTGGACTTGCCCAGACGACTAATCAACAGACCCTGCTGTACCCATTCCTTACAGTGGACTTACCCAAACCAAACACCCTGTCATACCCATTCCATACAGTGGACTTACCCAAACCAAACACCCTGTCATACCCATTCCATACAGTGGACTTACCCAAACCAAAGAACCTGTCACACCCATTCCCTACAGTAGACTTACCCAGACTGCTAAACGCCAGCGTCTTGGCCACAGCATCATTCATCTGGGCAGCGATACTCAGGTGCTGCTCCTGGTGTCTCACGGACTCTTCCAAGTTGCCCAGAGACTCGTAGGACAGACCCAGGTTGCCGTAAGCTCGACCTAAGGGGGCAGAGGTTTATAGAAACATTAGCTTCAATTAGTCCTGTATTAAGAAGTGTTTCTTTCTGGCATCTGTTTGGGTGTGGGGGGGGGGGTACGACGACGACGGGGGACACGACGTTGTGAAAAAGAATTTATAAAGAAAATATATACTTCTAACAGCGTCCCCCCCTCCACCTGAGCAGTGTTTCTTCCAGAGTTTTTTCTCCGGGGGGGGGGGGGGGCGGTAGACTTTCTTTGGGGGGGGGGGGCGGACACTGTTAAAAGTATATATTTTCTATATAAATTATAAAATTTTCATTTCGTTCAGGGGGGGGGGGCGGTAGTATTTTTTCGGGGGGGGGGGGGACGAAGCCCTCCCCCCTCCCTCCCCCGAAGGGATGCCTGGAAGAAACTCTGCACCTGAGAACTAAAATATGAAAGAAACACTGATATCAAAGTAAATATGAAACAGAAAGATGATTAAAACTTGCTGGAGATTTCGTTATTACTTGGTTGTAGGTTTTCTAAAAATGTTTTATCAGGACATATTTTAAAAAGAAGTATTTTTTCAACAATTGATTTATAACCTGTTGATGTTTTGATAAGACTTCATAGCTATTCAAGAACACACTCTGACTTGGAATTAACTACATTTTAAACAAAAGTACATTTCGTAAACAGATATACCTAAGTCACTCTTGGTTTTGAAAGACTCAAGGTGGACAATTTGCACCAACGTAAGAGAACTTTAAGAAGTAGAGTAAGACAGAACTCAACGATCTATAAATTTAAATAAAAACTAAGTGTTAATTTTTTTGGAACTCACATTGACATGCAGTGTTGTTTGTTTCCTCGGCAATCTTCAAATCCATCTGGTGGTAGGTCAAGGCCGTGTGGTACTCCCCCATCTGCTGGTACACGCCCCCCAGCCCGCAGGCGGCGTCCCCCTGGCAGGTCTTGTCCCCCATCTCCTGAGCCAGACTGAGCTGGTGCTCCAGGCACGCGATGGCCTGCTCTAGGTTACCCAGCAGACTGTGCAGGCAGCCCAGCTCTCCGTAGGCCGACGCCTTGGCTCCAGCACTATCCGTCTGATGCGCGACGAATAGTCTTTTCTCAAAGCAGACCAGCGCTTGCTGTAGGTTGCCGATAGCTTTATGAGCATTGCCTAAACCACGGTACGCCCTGTCTTGATCAGTTAGTGAACTTGTCTGTTGCGCTATGATCAAAAACTGTTCATGCCACTTCACAGCTTCTTCGTAGTCTCCTAAAGCTTCGTAACAGTCGCCAAGGTTACCGAATGCTTTCCCTTTGTCTTGAAGAGTTGTGGGCCCGTAGTTTTGTTCCAACATGGCGAGCTGCTCTTCAAGAAGACCAATAGCTTCTTCGTACTGGCCCATGTTCATGCGGGTTATGCCAAGGTTCCCGCAAGCCTGGCCTTCGAGACGATGGTCCTTGAGCTCCCTGCTTCTATCCAGCATCTCTTGGTAACACTTAAAAGCTGTGAGAAAATTCCCGAGCGACATGTGGACATTCCCCACATTCCCGTGTGCGCGACACTCACCCCTGAGATCGTTTATCTCCTGGCGTATTGTCAGTTCCTGTGTATGATACCCCAGGGATTTGTCGTACTGTCCTAACATACGATGAGCGGATCCTAGAGCACCATAAGCAGTAGCCAGCAAATCTGGACTGTCGCACTGTTTAGCCAGACTCAGCTGTTGCTGGTATATCTTGATAGCCTCGGTGATGTCACCTACCTTTAGCATCAAGTCCCCAATATTCCCCAGCGCACGTAATTTTCCAGGTGTGTTTTCTAAGGCATCCATCAACCGCAGGCATTTTTTCTGGCACTCTAAGGCATCATCGAATCTCAACAAAGACTTATGCGCCAGTCCGATATTGCAGTATGCTCTAGCTAGAGCTAACCTGTCCTTTCTATCACGGGCAAAAGCTAAATCCTGTTCATAATACTTCACAGCCTCGTTAAAGTTCCCTAAATTAAAATGAACATACCCAAGGTTGAAACAGGCTTTACTCTCCCCTTCAGAATCATTCAGCTCCTTCGACAAGGCCAGGAACTGTTCGTAAAAAGACACAGCGCTGGAGTGATTCCCCCTAGCGCAGTGAAAATTCCCCAGGTTACACAAAGCTCTCGCCTCGCTGGGCAGGTCTTTGAGTTCTCGTGAGATGCTCAGATGAAGCAGGTAATGATGGAGAGCGTTCTCTGTCTTACCTAACGCCTGATACGCTACAGCCAGATTCCCATGAGTTGAGCCTTCAGAATGTTTATCATTTACTTCTGAAGAGATCTCCAACTCTTGTTTATGTTGTTTAACCGCCAGCTCATGTTTACCTAAAGCACTGTAGGCATTACCGATGTTTCCGTATGCTCTACCTTGGCTAGCCCTATCCTGAAGAGCTTTCGCAATCTTCAAATGAACCTTATGAAGCTTTAAAGCAGCTTCGTACTCCTCAAGCTGATGAAAGATAATCCCCAAGTTCGAACACGCCCGACCTTCGGCCACTTTATCTTTTGTCTGTAACGCATTGTCCAGCTGTTTCTCATGATACATCTTAGCCGCCATGACGTCACCGCTGCACCTTGCAGCGTGACCCAGACCCGCGTACGCTCTGGCTTCCAACATCTTATCCTTACTCTGTTCAGCAATCCTCAGCACCTCCTTGTGAAACATCATAGCCCTGTGGTAATCCCTCTTATAATGGTACGCACTACCGAGGTTACTGTAAGCACGAGCTTCTTCAATGTTGGACTTGACACTGCGGGCAATCTTCAGGTGCTCCTGGTGGCATTCCACAGCGTTTTCAAAGTTACCCATAGCCAGGTAGACAGCGCCAACGTTGCCGATTTCTCTAGCCTCAGCCAAGACTTCCCTCGATTGTTTCAGCAGCAGAACACACTGCTTGTGGCTGGCCAGCGCATTAGGGTAGTCGCCTAGAGGGATGCAGTGTTAAAGTGAATATTAGGATAATTGTTTCGGTATAAAAAATATGGTGATTACAAAAATTGAGAAATCTTTAGAATATTAATGATGATCATCATGTCTTTTTTAAAAAATATTTCAGACGTTTTAATTTTGCCCTTGAAAGTATCAATTTCTTCCTAATAAACTATTTGAAATTTTATAAACATATTTGTTTGGAGTAAAGGATAATTTTAAAAAAAATAGGAATGACTTTTATAGGTATATTTTGCTTATTAGGCTAATAAGTTTATAGTATATTCCAGAATGGTATAAGAATGGGTCTATTAAGCCAACATCAACTTTTCTTTTTAACATATAGGCCTGTAGATTGGAATATACCAATCCCACGAGACAACAACTGGTGTATGACACCCTGCCCCCCCCCCCCCCTGACTTCTGAGATGATTTTCCTGGGTAAAACAATCATCTTATACAATGGAAAATGTTTTTGTTACAAAACAAGGTAAAGACAAAAGATGTTCACAAGGTAGTAAATATTTGATCAATTTCAACAAAATTTGAAACTACAACCTTCCCATTAAGAAATATAAGAACAAATTACCTATTGCAGTATAGACATGGCCCAGACTGCCCAGAGCATTAGAGGCCACTGTTCTGTTCTTCAGCTTCATGGCCAGCACCAGCTGGAATCTGTGGTTGGCCAGAGATTCTTTGTAGTAGCCTTTGGTGAAGTAGGCGGAGCCGAGGTTCCCGTAGGCTCGACACTCTCCTTCATGATCTCCTGTAAGTTTTATTTACAGCCATTAAATGATGCCAGTATTTTTGTGTGCTCCTTGTGTTTTGGGCTCAAAAAGGTATATATGTATATGATGTGTATATGATGATTTTTTGATGGGTAACGATAAGTTCTAAAAACAAAACAACAAGAACCGCTGCAGAGGTGTATGATAATTAAAAAGAATCCTCTTCAGACTCAGAGATCCATTGAGCAGATTTGTTTCTGTGACCTCGGCATATGAAGGGATAGCGTGGTCAGAACTATGCCCCAGCCGCCTTTACTTTCCCTAACATGAGTCAGGAACCCATCAGAGCTGGGTGGACTCAGTGACATTCTACTAACTTGAACCCATATTCGTACTTGAGACTTTTTCATTTACAATCGGATGCTTTACAATTCGATCGACCACGACAACAAAACTTAACCCCCAACCCCAACCCTAAGACAGGAAAACCAACCCAGATTTTTGGCCACAGCCAAGTCTTGCTGCATGTGGTAGATGGCCTTGTCCAGGTTCCCCAGCCCCCATAATGCACTGCTCAGCGCTGAGAAGACAGAACCTCTGAGCTTCAGGCTGCATGTTCCCACCTGTAACAAGAGATATATGAATAAACGCAGGGACAGTACTCACATTATTTAGACGTCACCAAAGGAAGGTTGTGATTTCTAGGATTATGTAAACCATTCAAGTTTTAATAGTATTAAATAATGAACACTTGTTTTGGTTCTATGTCACTATGACATGTGAGATATGTTGGCCAATGTTCTTGGTGATTTAAAAATCTGACAAGCTAGTTAGGCCTACGTTTTTGAAAACATGAGGTATGACATGAAGCGTATATTCTTAATGTCATGGCATTATTTGACATATAAGGTAATCCTCCTTTATGGATGACATGTGATATGACATCGAAGATAAGCCTAGTTTCTTGAAGACATGTGAAATATGACAAGGTAAGTGTGCCCATGTTCTTGAAGAAATGTGAAATATGAAATCTTTGATAGACCAATATTCTTGATGGCAGTTGAATTGGAACAATTAAAGTAAGTCTACATCCTTTGGTGACATGTGAAATATGCTATAGTAAGTGTGCCTCCATTCTTGATATGTGAAATATGACATCTTAATTAGACTTGTGTTTCAATGACAAAACGTCTAGGCCTTCTCCTGTATACACTTTTTTTAAACACACTAACCTTATTGCCAAAGTGAATAAAGTGCAGTTCGTGTCAATTGTTTGTGTACCTACTTTTAAACATTCAACTTCTAACATACTCAACCCTAACGGTCAATCAGCTCACCTTCAGTGCGGCCTCTAGTATTGTGACAGCAGCACTGAAATGACCAGCGGCCACCAGCTCTTGACCAATCACAGCGATGATAACAAACGGGCTGGACCTGAGTCCGAACTTCTCAAGCTGCTCAAAGGTTGGTTCCAGCTTGGCTGTAAAGTAAGAGAAAATAGTTCAATGTTCGGTGAACAAGAAGGGATAGTTCAATGTTCGGTGAACAAGAAGGGATAGTTCAATGTTCGGTGAACAAGAAGGGATAGTTCAATGTTAGGTGAACAAGAAGGGATAGTTCAATGTTCGGTGAAGGGAAGAAGGGATAGTTCAATGTTAGGTGAACAAGAAGGGATAGTTCAATGTTCGGTGAACAAGAAGGGATAGTTCAATGTTAGGTGAACAAGAAGGGATAGTTCAATGTTAGGTGAACAAGAAGGGATAGTTCAATGTTAGGTGAACAAGAAGGGATAGTTCAATGTTAGGTGAACAAGAAGGGATAGTTCAATGTTAGGTGAACAAGAAGGGATAGTTCAATGTTAGGTGAACAAGAAGGGATAGTTCAATGTTAGGTGAACAAGAAGGGATAGTTCAATGTTCGGTGAACAAGAAGGGATAGTTCAATGTTCGGTGAACAAGAAGGGATAGTTCAATGTTAGGTGAACAAGAAGGGATAGTTCAATGTTCGGTGAAGGGAAGAAGGGATAGTTCAATGTTAGGTGAACAAGAAGGGATAGTTCAATGTTCGGTGAACAAGAAGGGATAGTTCAATGTTAGGTGAACAAGAAGGGATAGTTCAATGTTAGGTGAACAAGAAGGGATAGTTCAATGTTAGGTGAACAAGAAGGGATAGTTCAATGTTAGGTGAACAAGAAGGGATAGTTCAATGTTAGGTGAACAAGAAGGGATAGTTCAATGTTAGGTGAACAAGAAGGGATAGTTCAATGTTAGGTGAACAAGAAGGGATAGTTCAATGTTAGGTGAACAAGAAGGGATAGTTAAATGTTAGGTGAACAAGAAGGGATAGTTCAATGTTAGGTGAACAAGAAGGGATAGTTCAATGTTAGGTGAACAAGAAGGGATAGTTCAATGTTAGGTGAACAAGAAGGGATAGTTCAATGTTAGGTGAACAAGAAGGGATAGTTCAATGTTAGGTGAACAAGAAGGGATAGTTCAATGTTCGGTGAAGGGAAGAAGGGATAGTTCAATGTTAGGTGAACAAGTAGGGATAGTTCAATGTTAGGTGAACAAGAAGGGATAGTTCAATGTTAGGTGAACAAGAAGGGATAGTTCAATGTTAGGTGAACAAGAAGGGATAGTTCAATGTTAGGTGAACAAGAAGGGATAGTTCAATGTTAGGTGAACAAGAAGGGATAGTTCAATGTTAGGTGAACAAGAAGGGATAGTTCAATGTTAGGTGAACAAGAAGGGATAGTTAAATGTTAGGTGAACAAGAAGGGATAGTTCAATGTTCGGTGAAGGGAAGAAGGGATAGTTCAATGTTAGGTGAACAAGAAGGGATAGTTCAATGTTCGGTGAACAAGAAGGGATAGTTCAATGTTAGGTGAACAAGAAGGGATAGTTAAATGTTAGGTGAACAAGAAGGGATAGTTCAATGTTCGGTGAAAAAGAAGGGATAGTTCAATGTTCGGTGAAGGCAAGAAGGGATAGTTCAATGTTCGGTGAAGGGAAGAAGGGATAGTTCAATGTTCGGTGAAGGGAAGAAGGGATAGTTCAATGTTAGGTGAACAAGAAGGGATAGTTCAATGTTAGGTGAACAAGAAGGGATAGTTCAATGTTAGGTGAACAAGAAGGGATAGTTAAATGTTAGGTGAACAAGAAGGGATAGTTCAATGTTCGGTGAAAAAGAAGGGATAGTTCAATGTTCGGTGAAGGGAAGAAGGGATAGTTCAATGTTCGGTGAAGGGAAGAAGGGATAGTTCAATGTTCGGTGAAGGGAAGAAGGGATAGTTCAATGTTAGGTGAACAAGAAGGGATAGTTCAATGTTAGGTGAACAAGAAGGGATAGTTCAATGTTCGGTGAAGGAAAGAAGGGATAGTTCAATGTTCGGTGAAGGGAAGAAGGGATAGTTCAATGTTCGGTGAAGGGAAGAAGGGATAGTTCAATGTTAGGTGAACAAGAAGGGATAGTTCAATGTTAGGTGAACAAGAAGGGATAGTTCAATGTTAGGTGAACAAGAAGGGATAGTTCAATGTTAGGTGAACAAGAAGGGATAGTTCAATGTTAGGTGAAGGCAAGAAGGGATAGTTCAATGTTAGGTGAACAAGAAGGGATAGTTCAATGTTAGGTGAACAAGAAGGGATAGTTCAATGTTCGGTGAAGGGAAGAAGGGATAGTTCAATGTTAGGTGAAGGGAAGAAGGGATAGTTCAATGTTAGGTGAACAAGAAGGGATAGTTCAATGTTCGGTGAAGGCAAGAAGGGATAGTTCAATGTTAGGTGAACAAGAAGGGATAGTTCAATGTTAGGTGAACAAGTAGGGATACTTCAATGTTAGGTGAACAAGAAGGGATAGTTCAATGTTAGGTGAACAAGAAGGGATAGTTCAATGTTAGGTGAACAAGTAGGGATACTTCAATGTTAGGTGAACAAGAAGGGATAGTTCAATGTTAGGTGAACAAGAAGGGATAGTTCAATGTTAGGTGAACAAGAAGGGATAGTTCAATGTTAGGTGAACAAGAAGGGATAGTTCAATGTTAGGTGAACAAGAAGGGATAGTTCAATGTTAGGTGAACAAGAAGGGATAGTTCCATGTTCGGTGAACAAGAAGGGATAATTCAATGTTAGGTGAACAAGAAGGGATAGTTCAATGTTAGGTGAACAAGAAGGGATAGTTCAATGTTAGGTGAACAAGAAGGGATAGTTCAATGTTCGGTGAACAAGAAGGGATAGTTCAATGTTAGGTGAACAAGAAGGGATAGTTCAATGTTAGGTGAACAAGAAGGGATAGTTCAATGTTAGGTGAACAAGAAGGGATAGTTCAATGTTAGGTGAACAAGAAGGGATAGTTCAATGTTAGGTGAACAAGAAGGGATAGTTCAATGTTAGGTGAACAAGAAGGGATAGTTCAATGTTAGGTGAACAAGAAGGGATAGTTCAATGTTAGGTGAACAAGAAGGGATAGTTCAATGTTAGGTGAACAAGTAGGGATACTTCAATGTTAGGTGAACAAGAAGGGATAGTTCAATGTTAGGTGAACAAGAAGGGATAGTTCAATGTTAGGTGAACAAGAAGGGATAGTTCAATGTTAGGTGAAGGCAAGAAGGGATAGTTCAATGTTAGGTGAACAAGAAGGGATAGTTCAATGTTAGGTGAACAAGAAGGGATAGTTCAATGTTCGGTGAAGGAAAGAAGGGATAGTTCAATGTTCGGTGAAGGGAAGAAGGGATAGTTCAATGTTCGGTGAAGGGAAGAAGGGATAGTTCAATGTTAGGTGAACAAGAAGGGATAGTTCAATGTTAGGTGAACAAGAAGGGATAGTTCAATGTTCGGTGAAGGAAAGAATGGATAGTTCAATGTTCGGTGAAGGGAAGAAGGGATAGTTCAATGTTCGTTAAAAGGCAAGAAGGGATAGTTCAATGTTCGTTAAAAGGCGATAAGAAGTAGCTCAAGTTTAACGGAAAGGGAAGAGGAAATACTTCACCAAAAGGACAGTCGGAGACTTGGTATTAATGGTGGAGGGGGGGGGGGGGGGAGACGGAGGGGGGTTGTCCAGCAGGGTTCAACGTTGAGCGCGGTCAAAATACGATTAGACTGGGTCGACATTTGTTTTAAAAAGAAGTCTGAAGCTATTATGATTATCGACTATCGGAGTTAAAGATTGAAAAACTGAGGTCTATAAGGTCAGTTTTATTTGTGTACATTTTTTGTATATTAAAACCTAGTTTCATATGAAAAACATTCCGAAAATAGAAAATAGTTTATAATACATCTACAATCAATAACTATGGCTTTCTATCACGTTTCTATTTTGTCTCTCTAAAGCTTGACAAGATGTACGGAAATGGCGCGAATCGCTCGGAGAACCCAGGCATCTCATAGCTGAATATGATATCATTAGTGAGGGTGACGCGAGGGGGACAAAGTATTCTACGTACACTTATCATGACAAATAATCTAAGTACACCAATGGTGACAAGTATTCTATGTACACTAATCATGACAAGTATTCTATGTACACCAATCGTGACAAGTATTCTATGTACACCAATCATGACAAATATTCTATGTTCACGCATCATAACAAGTATTCTATGTACACTAATTGTGACAAATATTCTACGTACACTAATTATGACAAGTATTCTATGTACACTAATTGTGACAAATAGGCCTATTCTACGTACACTAATTATGACAAGTATTCTATGTACACTAATCTCACATGCAAATGCTTTCTATGAAGCAGGCGTGCTCACCTTATAGTAAACACAACTGTATCATTATCTCACCTGCATACACCTTACATAAAAAGTAGCAGTCATTCAACACAAATCTAAAATTATTTTACCTGCAAACATCTCACCTTAAAGTAGAGTGTATCTTACACAAATATAACATTATCTCACCATAAAGTAGAGGGTATCTTACACAAATATAACATTATCTTAAAGTAGAGGATATCTTACACAAATATAACATTATCTCACCTAAAAGGAGCAGACATCCTACACTACACAAATATAACTCTTACATGCATAAATCTCACCTAAAAATAGAAGGTATCTTACACAAATATAACATCATCTCACCTAAAATTAGCAGACACCCTACACAAATATAACATTATCTCACCTAAAAGTAGCAGATCTCTTACACATCACATGTATGAATCTTACATACAAAAAAACAACAGCCTTACAAACTCACCTGCCAGCACCTTCCATACATTTTGATGAACTTTAGATTTCTTTAACTGAACATATTCTCCCATGACACAAAATTCCAAGAGTTCATGCAGTCATGCATGACATTGAGCACCACAGTTCATTCACGCGCGCATGACATTTAGTATCACCCTTAACGACAGTCACAAACGATAAGGAAACGATAACACATTTTTTAATCCTCCTCAACAAAATTTTTAACTATTCCTCCAGAATTGAAAACAAAAATCTATCGCGTTTTTTTTTTAAATTACAAAAAAGTTTTAATACATATTAGTTGGATTATCAAAAATTGTTCTGGCACATGAACTATACGGTTTCCGGTTGAAGTCGACAAAGTTTAAAAAAAAAAAAATGCGTGTTTTCTATACTGTGCGTCTCACTAATGGAGTCAATTAACATGTTTGCACCCCCTGCATGTTCCAACACACACAGCCGCACACAATTTGGAACAATGCGCTTTGTTTCCTTTCCACATTCACACCAAGTGTCGAAATTCACAGATTTTTAACATGCCGCGGCTGATTGGCCAAAAAAAAAAAAAAAAATTAACGAAACATTTGTTTTTCGTCTTTGACGAGGAATTTGTAAAAGAACGCACGGCAGATTGTAGCACGTGAGAAATCTCCGCGAAACGCACGTATCGGCCACAAAATAAACCGTGCTGACACTTGGTCGGCTTGTTTATTGGTAACTGTCGCGGGATTGTCCGTGACAAACATTGGAGTACTCGCGAAGTTAACGGTCGAATCGAAATGTTTGTGGATCTAACACTGTTGTTGGTCATGTTTGTTTGGATTTTTTTTTAAAGT